AATTGGGCAAAATTTAAATTATCGTGGACACAAAATAATTGGCATAAGGTCATATTAAGCGATGAGTCTAAATTTGATATTTGCGTTGGAGATCATCGAAAACGAATAATACGAAATAAAGCATAAGCCTTTCATAAAGATTGCTTAAAGAGGGTTGTTAAATTTCTTAAGGGGATTATGGTTTGGGGTTGCACGTCAGCAAGAGGTTTGGGCAAATTAAATTTTATATATGGCACTATTGCATAGATGGCACCAATTTTATAGATGGCACCATCCTCAAGAATTTTTGATTTACGGACAAAACTGCAGGAAATTTGGGATAATTTTTCTCCTCAAATGTGCCAATCTTTGGTAAATACAATGCATTTAGAGTTCAGGAATTTGTTAAGGCGAAAGGTGATGTAACTCCGTATTAAACAAATTTCTTGTTGTGCTGTGCCAATATATAGTTGTCAGCAAATTTGGCTTAATTTTGTCAAAATAAACTATTATCAAAAGTGATTTGTTTGCAAAATTATAAAAATATAGTAAAATTGTCTAGATCATATATTGTAATGCTTGAATTTAGAACAATAAACAAAATAAATTGAGTCGTTTTAACAAATTATTATTTTTATTGCAAAAAAAGACCTTGTCCCAACATATAGTTGTTAGGGCTCATATGTCAAATTTAGCTGCCCTACAAATATACACTATTCGTATGTGTATAGGATTATTTGATGGTCTATGTGTTCATATCAAATAAACTTTTAGTCACGTGACTACAAATATGATAAATATGTAAACACTTTTATTAGTTTGATCAACAAAACTCACCTTCTTGACAGCACTTAAGGGTAGGGTTGCCAACTTTCAAAGAGGACGAGAGGGTAAAAAAGAGGCACATGCGAAACATTTTTTGAAACCTCGCTCAAATGTCTAGAATTTACCAAAAAGTTATGTCATAGTTTAACATGTTTATCACGTCCACCAAATGTTTTTTGCACCTAAATATTTCTTCATAGTATTCTTCTCTGTATATACGGGTGGGGGGGGGTTAACGAATGGAATGGGAGTAGCAAATGTAGCGAAAGACACAGATTAACAATTTTTTAAAGCATTGTGGCGATAGACGAATATTTTTTAGATTTTGAGTTTGGTATGTAGAGGACTTTTGTGAAAAGAAGACTTTTGGTGAAAAGGAATGGTTGGTAAAAAGAGGACTTTTTCAATATTTGAGAGAAAAGAGGACAGTGAGATCAAAAAGAGGAATGTCCTCTGGAACAGATGACGGTTGGCAACCCTACTTAAGGGACATATCGAGAAAACAATTTTTACTACAAATATTTTAATATTTACAGAGGTAAACATTGACAAACAAGCCCTATTTCACATTCAAACAAAATAATGCATATCTTTTGAATATAAATGTATTATATAAATATTTTTGATCATCAACATTCCTCTGCCTTATATCTGTTTAATCGATGCTTATCTAAGATATATTTTTATAATATTGTCGAGTTGTACTTTCTACATTTTGATCAATGAATCTTCTTTTTTATCAATGAACAAAGCCTCAATAAAATATAAACATATCGATTCAATGATTTGCAACAATAAATTAAAAACTGCAGAATCATATGCCATTCATGATACCTCGTAGTGATAACGGAAAACTCGTGCCATAAGCAATGTCATTGTTTTGAAAAAATTGAACAATTCCCGACTAGCACGCACTTGTTCAGGGTAATACTTTTAATATAACCTGTTGACAAGCAGTACAGGGTTTTTAGAAATGCTAAATGCGAAACACGCAGGCTTACCTATTAGAGGTAGTGAAATTTGTAAAATAGAGCTTGTAAGGTTTTACCTGAACAGACAAAGAGTGAAATAAAAATTTACTTTAGAAGTAGAAAGAGGTAATCGTTTGCCATTTCTTGATGTTTTAGTGTCAAAGTTTCAAAATAAACTAATTTTAGATGTTTACAGAAAACCCACAAACACAGATAGATACTTAAATTTCACATCTAATCACAGTATAAGTGTAAAAAAAGGTGTTATAAAAAGTTTATATGATAGGGCAAAAATAATATGTACAGACGACATTTTACTAAATTATCTCTATTTAACCACTAAACCACATAAAAAATACATTAACCAAAAACGACTATCCACCATATTTTATTGACAAAACATTAAACGAAAAACAAACCCCAAATCATAGACACAATGATAACAATACACAATATATACAACTTACAATTCCATACATACGAGGCGTTTCGGAAAAAATAAGAAGGATAGGAAAACAATATAACATACGAACATCTTTCAAAACACAAAATACACTTAGATCCATTTTATCACATACAAAACCAATGAATACAGAACAACAAACAAAAAATGTAATATACCAAATACCCTGTGATTGCGATAAATTTTACATTGTTGAAACATCTAGACCCTTAAATGTTAGAATTAAAGAACATAAAGATTATTTAAGAAAGGGAGATTTTCACAAATCTAAGATTTGTCAGCATTCTTGGGACACAGGGCACAGAATAAATTTTAATAAAGCCAAAATTATAATGAAAGAAGCGATAGCCTCTAAAAGAAAAATAAAAGAGGCTTTTTTAATTCAATCTAATAAAAATAAATGTATTGCTCATGCATCTCTAGATGTTAGTAATGTATGGCAATCGCTTCTTTGATTTTAAAGAACAATAGATACAACAAGATAAATAAACATAACATACTTAAAATTTAAAAATAATCATACAGAAAGTTTGGGGCTTTTTGGTTTTACCTTATTAAGTAATTGTTATCAGGTAGTAATTGTTAATTTTGAAGTTTAAATATCAAGTTAAAAAAATTTCATTTTAACAGAACGTCAACGGTTTCTTGTAGACGTATCTGTTTTAAAAAAGTAAAGTGTTCTCGAATAGTTGAATTTAAATATTTTAAATAGTTTTTTTCTTTATTCTTGGTATTTTTTTGCTTCAGACGACGGAAAGAGATAACTTTCCGAAACGTTAAGCATTTTTTTTGCTTTATTAGGTAAATTTGTATTACCGTAAACATAACTTCTGACAAGCAGCGTCTGTTTAGGTTTAACGCAGAAGTGTTTACAAAAAATAATTATTTTATTTTGTAGATTTTCTTGAAGTGCAGTGGCGAAATACTAGTATATAATACCGCATGATTGAAAAAAAATGGCGTCCAGTTGGCTTGGAAATGAACATCGATGATTTCCCCATATAATTTTACATATAAAATGACAGCGATCTTTATTTTATAACCATCGCTGACGCCGTTTTTTTTATCACATTGAGCAGAGGCCAACAATATTTATTTGGAGTTGCATAAATACACAATATCGTCTTTTAGTCCGACATTTAATAGTCTGTAATATTATTTTAAGAAAAATATTAACGTGAAAATTAAATACCTTACAGATAAGATCCCTGTACAAAGCACAGTATAAATAAGTTTTTTTTTCTTTTAAATAACTTTCTTATCATTTGAATTTTATGCCCATAATGTTTGTTTAGGGCTTTTTTAAGTCTAAATATTGGTGCCTGCATTTAAGCCTATATCACCGCGCCGGCGCCGCGCTGTAGAAACGAACGATCGCATTGTGATCCGATTCAATTCTCACGATTCTTTTTTACGACTCATCGATAAATCTTGTGGATCCGTGCTGGCCACGATTCATTTTGATCCGATTCAATTCTCAGGATTTTTTTTACGGCTCATATTTCAAATCTTGTGGATCCGTTCTGGTCAGGATTTATTGTGATCCGATTCAACTCTCACGATTCTTCTTTACGGCTCATCGTTCAAATCTTGTGGATCCGTTCTGGCCACGATTCATTGTGATCCGATTAAATTCTCACGATTCTTTTTTACGGCTCATCGTTCAAATCTTGTGGATCCGTTCTGGCCACGATTCATTGTGATCCGATTAAATTCTCAGTATTCTTTTTTACGGCTCATAGTTCAAATCTTGTAAATCCGTGCTGGCCACGATTCATTGTGATCCGATTCAATTCTCAGGATTCTTTTTTACGGCTCATTGTTCAAATCTTGTGGATCCGTTCTGGCCACGATTCATTGTGATCCGATTCAATTCTCACGATTCTTTTTTACGGCTCATCGTTCAAATCTTGTGGATCCGTTCTGGCCACGATTCATTGTAATCCGATTCAATTCACGGGATTCTTTTTTACGGCTCATCGTTCAAATCTTGTGGATCCGTTCTGGCCACGATTCATTGTGATCCGATTCAATTCTCAGGATTCTTTTTTACGGCTCATCGTTCAAATCTTGTGGATCCGTTCTGGCCACGATTCATTGTGATCCGATTCAATTCTCAGGATTCTTTTTTACGGCTCATCGTTTAAATCTTGTGGATCCGTTCTGGCCACGATTCATTGTGATCCGATTCAATTCTTAGGATTCTTTTTTACGGCTCATCGTTCAAATCTTGTGGATCCGTTCTGGCCACGATTCATTGTGATCCGATTCAATTCTCACGATTCTTTTTTAGGGCTCATCGTTCAAATCTTGTGGATCCGTTCTGGCCACGATTCATTGTGATCCGATTCAATTCTCAGGATTCTTTTTTACGGCTCATCGTTCAAATATTGTGGATCCGTGCTGGCCACGATTCATTGTGATTCGATTCAATTCTCAGGATTCTTTTTTACGGCTCATCGTTCAAATCTTATACTAAGGGTTGACATTTCTGGTCTTGGGTGCCGGTTCATGTGTACGAAGAGTACGGTCAACACGCTTAGTAAAATAAGATCTACTGAATAAAGACAGAAGACGAGTATTCTCCCAAGCGCATGGAATCTAGCGTCAGATTAAGTAGTTATGTAATATATACTTCGTATTTTTGCTCATTCCGACTTATTAGATTGATTGCCATAACCGATCCAAAGGTTCGCTTGCCAGCAGGGTAAATCCGTGCTGGCCACGATTTATTGTGATCCGATTCAATTCTCACGACTCACGATTCTTTTTTACGGCTTACATCATATCATTCTTTTTTACTGCATCATATAACATCGTTCAAATGTTATTGATCCGTGCTGGCCACGATTCAATTGAACGAACCGGATTGCAATCAATGAATCAAATCTCACGTTTCATTTTTGATACTCGTACACCCTTCCACGATTGTGGTTTGTTTCCGGCTCAGGTAGGCACCCTTGAGGTGGAGGCTTGAGGATCAATCTCCATTGTGGGCACAACATTGGAAATCCCATAAAAGTTGGAATATCTGTTCTTAAAAATTTTGTTTATTTTTTTTTTCTATGTCCACCAATATTGAGACAACCTGTATATAAATAAATATTTTTTATTGGATTATATCGCTTCCGTCTTTAGAGGAAATTACTTAATACTGATAAGATAGTACTGATTAGAATCGGTAATGAAATATTTAAGGCAGTTTATTCCAGATGAATATCATTTTTGAATTATAAACAAACTACAGCTGTCACAGTTAGTATCAATAATAGTTTTATTAGTGATAAAAAAGTGGAGAAATAATTTTGTTTTTTTTTTAAAAATAAATAAAATGCGTCTAAGAAATAAGGATATCAGTAATGACCAACCGAACCAAACCAGCCCTGCTGAAGAAGGGGTTGAATATACTGGTGATAAAGGTAATAAAGTATTTTGTAAATTTTTTGTCTTTGTCGTTGGATACATCACGTGTAAAGATACTTCTCAAACATCTGGTTGCTAATTTTGTTGGCATTTTATGTAAAGGGCATCATAAAAGATGTTGTAAGAGGACGAAGCTGCTTTACTTCAATATATAAACAATATGTCTGTTATAACTGATTTTATAAAACTAGGTCCAAAATTTGGCGTCAGGTATATTCAAATGATCATCAGTGCCGTAGGAACTGGCATCATAACATCGACGACTACTACTTTTTCCATACTATTAATTGCCATGATTACAGAAGGTTCTTCTATAAATCCTGATGTACCTGTAAGTATACCTTAATTAGTTATTAAAAACAATCAAAAAACAAAATTGTCATGGTAACGAAATTTTAGAAATGAGACTATTTCAACCATGACAATTTTAAAATTTAGCAAGTAAACTCTTAAGCTTCATTCAGAACCTCGCAATTACTGGAATAAATTAGTGATTTCAATTACGTAGCATAGAAGTTTGTTCATCTAATTTCAATGTAAGCATTCAGAACATCAAAATTAGTGGTAGGAATTTTCAGTTAGTGGAAAAAGTTAAAAAACTTTTAAATTTTCCACTAATTATACTTCAAAATTTGCGACGACTGTCACTTTGGCCTATGATTATCATCCGTCAAGACAAAATTTGGTGAGACATCAAAGGTATATTGTTTTAAGCTAAATATTAGGATACACTATGGATACACACGACTACTACTATGGATACAACTACTGGAAGCTGTTGCTAGGATATTTTATTAATTTTAATTGTATTTTTTAGACATTGTTAATGATCGTAAACTAAGCAGTATAAGTATAAATTGTAAATGAAACCACTAATTTATCACACTAATTGCAAGGTTCTCAGTGAAGCTTAATTCATATTTATAAAGTTTGAATATTTGTCATGGTAACTATTTTCTTTAAACAAAACAAGTATAATAGAATTATTATCATTTGAATATCTTTGGTGGCGCACCTCATTTACCTCGGTGATTATACGAAAACGGAAAGATGTAGAAACAAAATATTTTAGGGGTATATGTGGGGAGACAATGTGCACAATTTAATATTATTTTGAAATATACAAGGTGTTTCAGAACTAAGATCCATACCAAAGTTATATTTTTTCTTATGGAACACCCGGTATTTTATTTCATTTTTGGATTCTTCGGCCCAAAAAAAGGTATTTGTTATGGGTTAATTATGTTTGAAATATCTGGTTTTTGAAATATTTAAAGATATTTAAATTTGCATGCTACAATAGAACAGATTATTAACACCCTGTACATTACCTTTCAGAATTAATTCTTATGCTGAGTTTAAAGGTAGAGAAATAAACTTTACTGAAAAATGGTATTAGTTCCTTAAATTTATACAGGGCTATCAAAAGTTGCTGATCTATTTTAAGGATATATTTTATATAAAAACTTTGTTATTTCAAATGTAACACCCTGTATTTTTTAAATAAATCGAAGCACATCATTTGAATGTGTTCTGTTATAAAAATTCTGTGTGAAACTGTTATAAATTATAAATAATAATGTCCATAAACTAATTTCGATTTTGAAAATAGCTACTAACTGTCACTAGAAACTTGCCATGACAACACCATCTGCCACAGCCATCTTGATTACAATTTTATTGAAAAATCGCTTTTTATTCAAAATCTGAGCCAGATTGGTATAGGAAACACTAATATAGTTTGAAAGAGCATTTAAATCTGCTTCGATTTAAAAAAATACATAGTGTTGCATTTGAAATAACGAATTTTTTTTGTAAAATAAATATTTAAAATAGACCAGCAATTTTTGATACCCCCGTATACATTTAAGGAAGGAATAACATTTCTCTGTAAAGCTTATTTCTCTACCTTTAAACTTAGCACAACAACTAATTCTGAAAAGTAATGTACAGTGTGTTAATAATCTATTCTATTGTAGCATGCAAATTTAAATATCTTTCAATATCTCAAAAGCCAAAGATTTTAAACATATTTAACCCTTATAATAAGTACCTTTTTTTGGGCCCAAGAATCAAAAAATGAAATAAAATACTGGGTGTTCCATAAGAAAAAATATAACTTTGGTATGGATCTTAGTTCTGAAACACCCTGTTCATTTCAAAATAATTTTAAATTGTACAGATTACCTCCCCACATATACCCATAAAATATTTTGTTTCTACATGTTTCCGTTTTCGTATAATCAACCGAGCCGAATGAGGTGCGCCACCCTGTATACTGATGATTGATATCCAATCGGTTGATTTAGACAGATCGCATATATCGACTTTCCTTGACCTCTAAACCAAATTTTAGCTTACAATAAGTGGCCGAATTTATGATTCAACCAATGCTTATTAAAGATCATATTTTTGTCACTTTTACACATGCTTTATTTCATTTAACTATTAGAGATTAGTATAGGTTAGTATACTAGAAAAATTATCAGATGTGGAAATAGTTTCGAAAAATGTAAAAATATACCAGTTGTTCCAATTAAAATCACAAAGATGCTACCACTATTATTACAAAGCGGCAACACTGTAATGCGGAACATTATTTTGACAGATGGAGCAAGCGCCATTAAGCAAAAATCCGAATTTAAAAAAAATCCATCGCTGGTTCTCCATAAACATCTAACGTACCATGGTCGTAAATATAATACAAACATTTTTAATTTCAGTATTACGATTTTAACGACAACCTTCCTATGCTGTACACTGTTGGTATGGCCACCAGTCTGGCGCTTCAACTATTCGCTGGTCATTTTGGAAAGAACGGACCCAAATGGTACATAGTTGGTGCTGCTTTACTCAACGGACTGTCTTTGGGTGCCATACCACTTGCTGCCAAATGGTTGGGTCTAGGGGGAGTCATTGTTTGCAGGCTGATCCAAGGAGGAGCACAGGGGGGGTTTGAGCCACTGAGTATTTGCGTGGGGGGATTGTGGATACCATCGGAAGAAAGAGCTCGACTCAGTTTTGCCGGAGTTGGATGTAAGTAAACAAAGAATTACACATACTGGTCTGGCCAAGTACGCTAAGTTCTTAAACATGTTTTGTATTTGGTAAATTTATAGTAATAAATTTTTAACAATATGATAAATAAATGGTCAAGTTCTTAAACATGTTTTGGAATTCAAAAATTTATAAAACTTTAAAAATTTCTCCTTTGCGTTTTTTTGCATCTGGGTGTATTTACTCCTTCCATATATTTTGTGGCAATGACACATATTAAAGATTGTCAGTTTTATAAATAAATAATCTTATTAATGACTTGACTATATCGAATCTTTGATTGATAGTAACAAAAACGTACCTACACTAATTTCAGTTGCTTCACTGGCCAACATGCTTGGATCTATCCTGGTCGGTATCATATCGAAATCATGGATGGGCTGGCCGTGGGGTTTCTATTTCCTGGCAATCATTAACATGAGCTACACTGTAATATGGGTGTTATTTTTCCATAACAAACCTGAGACTCATCCAACCATCACTCCCGAAGAGAAAAGATATATTCAGGTGTCTTTAAGTCAACAACCTGGAAAGGTAAGTGAAAGTTCGTTTAATTGTGTTAAGAAGTTTGTTTGTAATATCGTACAATCGAAAAAAAAACCGGTGTCAAAGAAGGCCGAGGAAAGACAATCGATGATAATTTTGGCGAGTTCAAGCCCTAGACGTCAATTACCTAGCCCGTACTCCTGTCCTTAAGAAGGTTGTAATTTATTTTTATACTAAGTAAAAATTATTTTTAACTGGTGTAGTTTAAAACTCGAAAAAAAAAATTTGGAAATAGATTTGTGTGTTTGGAAACGCACTATCCTTTGCCAAAATTATCATCGATTGTCATTTCCCAGCCGTCTTTGACGCCATTTTTTTTATCATATGGTATTTGAATTGTTTTCTTTAAGACAAGAAACAGAAAGCCTAGAGAGATTATCTATAGATTATAGTGATAATAGTATATTATTCAACGAGCATATAATGGTGGCTGTCATCCAAGTGAATAACAGCCATTATATGCGAGTAGAATACTATACTTTATCCAGGACTATCAAAAAAATTTAGATAGGTAATATTAATATAAGTTTTTATTTTTAAAAAACACCTTTTGGAACCCCCCATAGATGAATGCAAAAAATAAAATTGAAAACAAATTTTCAAATCGAACGTTAGTTTGCAAAAAGTGACATTTAAAACTTCAAATTTTTAAATCTAATTTTAGAGTAGAAAATGAGGGACTTTTAACATTGTTTCTTCATAATGGTGTTTAATAATTTGTTTACATGGCGAGATATAATATGAGAATGTTTAAGGAGCACAAACTATTTTAAAAATCTCGTGACAAGAAAAACAACTTGTGAAACACCTTATAGATGAATGCAAAAAGTGACATTGAAAACTTCAAATAGTGTGTTTGGTGTTTGGAGTTTGGATCGAGATATCCGTGGAAACGGTGAATAATGAAACCATTATTCACTAGTAGTAATGAATATTATTATTATTTCATAAACTCATGTATAATAATCAAATTATAAACGAGTTGTGGATAAAAGTTAATTTTTAGTATGTATGTCCAATTATTGTATTCCTTTTCTAGAATATTCCAACTCCATGGAAGAAAATTGTCTTATCCATACCAGTTTGGGCTATCATCATATCACTGATTGGAACAAACTTTTCCATGGTTTATAAGGGTTCTTATAAAACAATATTTTTATCTGAGATAATGAAATTCGATATCCAAGCGGTAAGCCATAACAATTATTTTATTTTACTTTTTACTAAGGACATAAACAGAAACTAAGTACTAAAAACTTAAGAGCTACTGGTCAGACATTTTATATAGATGGGGCCTTCGTTCTGTTTGCACTTCAAACTGATCTGAATTAGATCTTTCATTTTTGAATATGCAATAAAATATTAACTGTTCAAGAAATTAAAAAATTATATTTTTTTTAATTCTATTGAAACGAATGCACATTCATTTCTTTCAACTCTAATTCTGTTTTTTAATTACCATTTAATCGTTTTTCTTTTTTTATTCAGTATGTTTAATTTGTTAATTTATTTTAGATTATATCTTAATAAAAATATGTTTCTCCTATTTGACAGAATGGAATTGTTCAAGCCATACCAACACTTGTTGCTTGCATCAGCGGTATTTTTGTTTCAACCTTATGCGATCTAACTGTCAAACGACGATGGCTATCTAGATTAAACGCCCGAAGATTCTTCCAGATATTTGGTAAATTTATAGTAATAAATTTTTAACAATACGATAAATAAATGGTCAAGTTCTATGTCAAAAAACAAGTTATTAATAAATTCAGAGTGAATAAAAATATATGTACATTTTGTAGGTTCCACTGTATATGCACTGTGTCCAATAATAATGACTTTCATCCCCGCTGAGTATAACAAATGGGCTGTAGTGATGATGTCAATTCAAGACGTGTTTTTGATTGTATTTATCATTGGAGGTAGCAACATCAATACATTCGAAATTTCACCGGTTTTCGCTGGAGTCATCCATGGAATGGCAACTACTTGTGCTAGTCTTGTTGCTCTACTAGCACCATACATATACAAATGGGTTGTTAGTGATCCGGTTAGTATAACACATTTTTTTTAATTCTATTATGAAACAAGAGAATCGCAATTAGAAGTAACGATTACTGTTTAAGCTTCAACGTGTTCCATACAATGTTTTTTCTAATTTTGATCAATGACAAGATTAAGTATTTAATTTGACTAGGAATATCATTTTTTGGTGTTATAGTGTCAGACGTTCTGACATTTAACATCAAGAAAATATTAAAGTGACAACATTTTTTCCTGTTGGTAGAACTGACTTTTATAAGCGACTACTGACGAATCATTTATTTAATCACTAGTTGCGATAATAAAAATTATCCGTAATTGGCTTGGATATGTATATGTTTTGTTTGATCCCTCACTCGGAGGCCTTGGGCCTATTGCTATACCTCTCTATTATTGTACCAAACCTTGATCTCATTCTTTCTTTGCGTTAAAGCACTTCTTTGCAAAGTTCCCGGTGTCGCTGATGTTGGCTTCTGCTGCTTCCTCTAGTCCCTCCAAAAAACCTTGCCCTTTTTTTTAAGTTTTAAAGCATCGGTATTCCAGCGCCGGACAGTGGCACAGCAGATGTCCTATGGTTTCTTCTTCCTCTCCGCATTCTCTGCAGTAGTCGCTGTTGGAAGTCTTCCATCTAAAAGGTTTACCTCCGTGGAGCAGTTTCTTAGTAGTTGTTTTGTCTTTTTGCTGCCTACCACTGGCCACAGTCTTCGAGCTGTAGCGCTGTCCTCACAATGTTGCCAAGTCTCTTGCTGCTTGGCTGGTAGTTTCTAGATGGTAGTTCCTATAGCATTCTATAACTTCACTTTATTTGCAACTGCTAAGTTTAGTTCGATCCTTTACTGCTTATTAGCGCCACTCTGGTCATTTATAGTGAACCATTATTTTTTCCTTTTAGATGACCATATTTTTAAACAAAGTCTCGTATAAGAGATATTACTCGTTACCTCTACGCTCCATAGGGATTTTGACACTTTAAATGTCAAAAATTAGAAAAATTAACCATAAAGAAAAAAAACAATTATAAAAATACAGATACCAAGAAATGGATATTCTGTAAATTAACCTTTAATATTTACGTTAACATTTTTTTATCTTCTAGACGAATGTACAGGAATGGAGGTTGTCTTTTTTCATCAATGCTCTCATCACCATAACTTCGGGACTAATATACGGTGTCATGGCCTCAGTCAAAAGGCAGAATTGGGAAGGTGAAGCTGAAATTGAAGTGAGCCCAAACGAAGCAAGGAGATACAGCATTACAAGTGTCGAGCAGGCTATACCTAAACTGTAAAAGTAGTTTTTAGGAGTATGGTTATTTACAAACATTTTTATTCTTATTTATATATCTTATGGACCAGTTTATACATATAGTTATTATATAATAATAAATATCTAGTCGTTTTAGATCTAGAAAGTTGATTTAGGCACAGCTTATTCAGCACCAGCTGGTCATTTTTGCTTATTCTACCAGTGTTTCACTTGCTATTTATTAAATAACATAAGCTAAGCGAATATCTAAGTACATGAGCAGATTATCGTGCAAATGATCGTAAGACAGCATTCTGGTTATGAATAGACTGTGATTTAAGTCCTAATTTATTTTTTTATACATAAAAAACTTAGGCCTCATTTAGAGTAGATTAGTTGTTCTTTTGAAGCGACTTAAATAGATATTGGTACAAAAAAATGTAATTTTAATTTTTATGTTTATTTTAGTAATTTGTTATTATTAAATTTTATTTTTCTATATTTTGATTTTTTGCCTTTATTTAATTAATTTTATACATGTTGTTGCTCATTAATGTTATTAAATTTAATGCCAGATCTCGGTTTCTTTTTACTTAATTTTTACTACCCGAAACAGCGTTACATCACACAAATCTCGTACCCGTAACTCAAAAACTCTGTATTTCCATACCCATATTTATAGGAACTTTTTTCATATTTTTTGATGAGGAATCAACAAGTACTTATTTAAAACATTGGCAATTTAATGGTATTAATTTTTTTAAAGGTTGCTATTAGACTTGGATCAAGGCAAATTAATAAAATTGCGTTTGTCTCATCAAGGAGGCCAAAAGCGATAAAATATCAAGGGACAACTTTTAATCGCTTACACTATTTCGCTAACAAGAGAAAAAAAGTCAGTGGCGAACATGCTATTTTCAGAAAAAAATATTATAGGGATAACCCATGTGCATGTCCCTGGTCAATATGTTGACATTTTTTAGCTTTAACATATGTCGCATTTATAGTAACATTTACCCTTAAAATTTCATTCGAAACGCTAAAAGTAAAAGAAAATTGTAATAAATCGAAAACATAATAAGAATTTAACACCCTGTAGCTATTAAACGCTGCAAAAAAAAAGCAGAATCGGACCTTAGTGGATATGAAAAATAAATCTTATTTTTGTGTGAGAAATCTCCCTACGAGAACATGTTTTTTTGAAACACCCTGTATAACTATTATGACGACAGATTGTTATTATTTTCATGTAAAAAGGCAAATGATTTAACACCATTATCGTTTATTTTTTATTTAATTAAAAATTATGATATCAAATTCAGAAGAAATGCAAAAAGTAATTGCTTACTGTGTGATAATAACTTCTCCGTGCATAAATAAATAATAAATGTCAATGCCTCGAATAATTTTATTACTTTAATTACACTTAAATGAGAGAACGAGATATATTTGGTTAACAAACAGTTAACAAAAAGGTTGCTAAATTGTAAGTCCGTCTTAAATCCTATTAAAATGTAATAAAAGTTACAAATATGAAGATTTTGAGAAGTATAAAATAAAAAGTTAGTCAGTTTTTTGGAAAATGCAACTGTTATTTTAAGGTAAGTTTGATTTTGATATTTTAACTATCTTAATTTTCACTAGTTAAGTATAAATCACCTTGTCTACATATTAGTATCTTCTCTCTCTTCTATCTCTCTCTCAGTCTAGTTCCATCCAGTGTTGGATATATGCCTCTTCTAGGTTTTTTCATGCTTCGCGATCTCTAGCCAATCTTATCCATTGTCTTCCCGCGACTGCCCTCACGTCATCGACCCATCTCTTTTTTGGTCGGCCCACACTTCTTGTTGTTCCCCCCTAGGTATCCATAGGATGACTTTTTGGGGCCATCGGTCTGGATCCTGTCATGCCACATGTCCTATCCATTGCCACTTCAGACTTGCCACTCTTTTAACAACATCTATTAATTTTGTTCTTTAACGTATGTGATTGTTCTGTATTTCTTCTCTAATAGTCACTTACAACATAATTCTTTCCATGGTTCTTTGTGCTACTCGTAGCTGTTCTGCTGTTTTTCGAGTAATTGCCATAACCTCTAAGCCATACGTAAGCACAGGTAGAACGCAGCTGCCGTAAGCCTTTTTCTTTAGGTTGATGGACACCTTTTTATCCTTGAAAATATCGCTCATATTTCCAAATGCTACCCATGCCAAATAAATCCTGCGTTTGATCTCCGTATTTTGGTTCTCTTGACCCAGCTTGATTTTATGACCTAAATATATACTTATAATGGTCTACGTTTTCAATAATAACGTTGCCTAGGGTAATGTTATGGAAATTGTTGCTCATTATCTTGGTCTTATTCAAGTTCATTTTAAGGCTAATTTTCTGGGATTTGTCATTTAGCTCCTTTAGAATGGTGTTCAGTTCTTGAATGTCGGTGCTCAGCAACACAATATCGTCTGCGAACCTAAAATGGCTAAGGTGTACCCCATCGATGTTTAGACCTCTATCTTCCCATTCTAATTTCTTGAAGACTTTTATTTTTTATTTATATTAATATATGACTCCCAATTTATATTCTCTCTAGATAACAGTTTATACATATCCAAAGATTTAGAAAAATGGATGATAAAACAACTGTTATGGATGTTCCTCCCAAAACTACAAATTCAGTTAAATACAATGGAAATAAAGGTATAATTATTTTCTTTAATTAAAAAACATATTTTTAATAAAATAATTTTTTGTTACTGTAGGTCCAAAATTTGGGGCCAGACATGTACAAATAGGCCTTGTTGCTTTAGGAAATGGGGTTTTGTTCTCAACCAAATACGCTTTTTCTATAGTTATTGTCGCTATGACAGACACGAGTTCATCACCTAATGACAGGATACCAGTGAGTATATTTATTCTAAGAAAATAGTATATAGTTCATATCAAATAAACTTTCAGTCACGTGACTAAGCTTGAGCGGCACAGCGTTGCCCACTTTTACATATTTTCTTTTAATCAATATACTCTAGAAAACAAAAACAAATTAATTATAAATATATAAACAGTTATTCATAAAGGACACGAGTGATGGGATTAAGATCAACGGTCTAACACTTAACAAGATATGCTGATGATACCGCGGTACTAGCAGATAGTCCAGAAGCCTTGCAACGCTTGAAAAATCAACTCACTGCAGTCGGAGATCGTTACGGCCTTAAAATAAATACCACTAAAACAAAAATACTTATATCAAAAACCCCAGAGCCGCCCATAGTACAGAGACTGGCATGTATCTGCATCACAGGTGCCATGAGAACATGTCCAACAACAGCAATGGAGGTCATTCTAGACCTAACACCACTGCACATTGTCGTTGGTAGTTATGCCAATGCGACAATGATTAGAATGGTCACTGACGGGAACAGTACTGGGAGAATTTTCAGGTCAGGGGCTTGGAACACCCTCAAAAAGAAAATTCCATTTCTCCAACTCCCAGTGGATGACATACCAAGAATTTACAACTTTGAGAAACACCTCACTGTAGTATTGAGTAATAAAAAGGATTGTAAGAAAGGTACGCTTACTCAGCATATAAAAGACCATACCATCACGTGGTATACTGATGCTGCCAAAACCAAAGCAGGGACAGGGATAGGAGTATTTGGGCCGAAAACTGAATACTCCAAACCAATGGGCACCTACCCCAGTATCATTCAGGCAGAAATTTGCGCTATCGAAAGATGCGTACAATTTATCTTAGATAGAAACTATCGAAAACAGGAAATTGCCATCCTATCCGATAGTCAAGCAGCACTTAACGCGATCAACTCAGTAACCATCAATTCGAAGTTGGTCAAAGAATGCCTAGAGAAGCTCAACAAATTAGGCAAAGAAAATAAAGTCCTCCTACTCTGGGTGCCTGCTCACCAAGGGATAGAAGGCAATGAAAAAGCAATTGATCTAGCTAGAAAAGGAGCAAACACTCCACTAACTGGACCAGAACCGTTCTGTTTTCCAAACGGGAACCAACTGAAAGCGGAAATGAAGAATCTGGACGACTCCATCCGTAACTTGGAACGGGTGTCCTCCAACGGTCTAAGACACTCGAAAAAGTTCCTCAGAACTTATGACCGTGAAAAATCAAAGGTTTTCCTTGATTTAAGTAAAAACAATCTTCGGATTGTCACGGAGTTTCTAACAGGACACTGTCTCCTCAACGAACACCTCAGTAGGCTGAAGCTGAGAAACAACGGCGAATGCAGATTTTGTGGGGAAAATGGGGAAACACCAGAACACCTTATCACTGAGTGCACCGAGACGACGACCATTCCTGCCATGAACTTTGGTACGTCTGATGTCGAGGATGGAGAGCTGGCCTCTGTGGAGCCGTCTCAGATACTGGCTTTTGTTAAAGCCCTGAGACTGTATGATGAGTTATAACTCGTTATAACTCAAGAAAGGGGACTACACAATAGATCTATAAGATCGCGGTGATTAACTCCCCTCCTAAACATTCTACATTCTACATTCTACAGAGCCGCCCATAGATATTAGTATATATGGGAAACGAATAGAAGTGGTAGAAAAATTCAAATATTTGGATTTGCAACAACCTAAATCCAGAAATAGAAATTAGATCCAGAATCGAGCAAGCAAGAGCCACTTTTAAACTGATGCGGCCATTACTGTGTAATGCCACCCTAAGTCTGAGTCTTAGATACCGGTTTGTGAAGTGAATGTACACCCGGTTTTGTTGTATGGCTATGAATCATGGACTCTAAAGGTTAACACCATTAACAGAATAGAAGCCCTTGAGATGTGGATTCTTCGCAGACTTCTCAAAATACCTTGGACGGCACAGGTCACAAACGAAGAGGTGCTGATGCGAGCCCAGTGCGAAAGAGAATTAGTGCACATAGCCAAGAAACGTAAGACAGTCTATCTGGGTCATATAATGCGTGGAAGTAGATATGATCTGTTAAAATTGATAGTGGAGGGAAAAATTGAGGGCAAGCGGGGTATAGGTAGAAAGAAACATTCATGGTTGAAAAACATCAGAGATTGGACGGGTATGGATGTACACTCGTTATTTCGAGCTGTCCAAAATCGTCAGAAGTTCGCCGAGATTGTTGCCAACCTTCAATGAACAATGAAGACGGCACTCAGAGAAGAAGAAGAAACAGTTATTATTTACATCAACAAAACTCACCTCCTTAACAGCACTTAAGGGACATAAAGGACAATTAATACCAATTTCCCGTTCAAAATATTCTAATAAAATTGCAATAAGTTTTTTACGGCTATTAAACTATCTTGAAAAACTTAAAGAGGTTCTAAAAAGAACAATGTTCGACTGCAGGGTCTGCTAGTTAAAATATTTAGGCTTAAAATAGGCACAACACAATTCATTTAAAACAAAAACTCGTAATAAATAACTAAAATGTTAAAATGAATAACAATGTCAGGAAATAAATAAATAAATGTGGCAACTTGGCATTTTTGGCCCGGTGCCGAATATGTCCATGGTTAGCAACAATAAATTTAAAAATCGCGCCCTCGATTACGTAACTAAAAGTTTAATTGGTATGGAATATAAATACACAAGCCTTACTGTATATAAAAAATAGATATACAAACGAGATGTAAACAAAAAGAGATTGACCTCGCCAAAATTATCATCGATTATCTTTCTTTAGCCGTCTTTGACGCCGTTTTTTTTCGAATAAACGGTCTTATCGTTTGCAATTTATAACATAAATTATTCCAACTTACATCAGACTAGCAACTGTTCATTATAAAAATAAAATCTTAGGTAATATAATTTTATCACTTAGCAAATACTATTAAAGATAAATGTTATTCGAATGAAAGAGTCAATTTTTCCCAAAGACACCTAATTTATTAATTACAATAAACGAAATAGACTGAAAGTTTCGGTCGCATATCGCATACAGGGTGGGTCTGAAATAAGTACAAATATTTTTAGAGCTGGTATTTCTCGATAAAAGAAACATATTTTTGTCTTTGCCGTTTTTCAAATAACTCCAAAATAACCGAATTATTTTCAGGTTATTTTACTACAAAATTTCCAAAAGAATTTTTGCTTAAATTTTGAGAATCACTGGATCTTTTCTGGGTTTTCTTTCTTGTAAACTTGATCTACTACCTATGTTGCCAAATTATCAAGAAATTATGGTTGTTAACTAAAAACCAAAAAAAAATTTCGATTTCAATTTTTTATTAAAACTTAGCCTGTATTTCTTAATTTACTTTAACATTTTTTTTTGTTAAATTTTAAGCAGGTTCTAACTTTATGACAATTTTTAGACTTACGATTGGGATAACAAAAATGTCATCATCTCTTCAATCCTTTGGAGCGGCATGGTGTTCCAGACAGTCGCCGGCCATTTTGGAACACGATACGGTCCAAAGTGGTTCATATTTTCCTCCTCCCTTCTAAATGGTATATCGTTCCTTCTTATACCATCTGCAGCTCAATATTTCGGATCTTACGGGGTCTTGGCCTGTAGAATGATCCAAGGAGCTTGTATGGGAACATACAGGCCCATTCATATCAGCGTTATGGGATTGTGGGCCCCTCCAGAAGAACGGTCTAGAATGAGTTGTATTGACACATTAGGTAAGCATAGATTTATCGAATTATATAAAATATTGTACCGATTAGAATAAAAAAAAAATAATATCAGAAAAATTCCAATATTTAATATTTACCTTTCTTTGAATGTGGTAGGCAATAATTCAGTATTGAAACTAAATGAATTTTGGACTTTCATTGTCCTTTATTTTTACTTACATAACCTTTCTTTAACCGATGTATACTGTCTTTATTAAGTGTCATGTATTCTGAACTCTAAAACTACTACCGTGGCTAACGTCATATTCAAGGCCTGACTGTTTTGACAGTTCTACCGAAGTGGTTCAGAATTAGTAACAAACCAATTGTTTTCATTAGTTTCGCAACAAATCTGTGTTTTTTACGCGTTTCTATGCTAATAAAATTATACTAAATAATTTTGAGTGAATAGTGAACTATCTAGATCCGATTAATAACATCGTACCCGCGAAAAAAACCATACTTTCGGTAAAAATTATAGTAACACCGGCGATGCCGGCTGTGTGTCCGGGCTAGGAAAAAGTTAGGGAATTTATATAAAAACATAATTAATAGCGTTAGTGTTATTGTATAGTGTTAAACCAACGTAAGTGACGTGTATTTTTATGTAAAACCAGTTTTCGTTTCTTTATTTTTACTTTGTGAAATAAAAAATTCCGCGACATTGTTCTGTGCCTGTGCCTTGTAGCAGCAATTATAATAAGTCCTCAGGATTTGTCTACATTCTCTTTCCCAACAATATTAACTGTAACTAGGTCACGTCCAAAACCTACAGAACATGCTGTGCCTACAATTTTTCCAAATCAACCCTCTTATGGACCCTCTGTGCATGTTCCCATAAAGAGAAAACGTCCCGATGAAAGAAAACAAGATTTGGAAATTCAGGATGAAATAAATATTGAAAAGTATTATTATTATTATGAAATGGCAATATATTTTAAAGAATTTAAATGAATTTGTACTTTATTTCAGTATTTTATATAAAAAAATTATATCTTTATCTTTTTATTTACGATTTATGGAGATGGTTACTTGATGAACATCGAACTGCAAATTACTTAATGTTAATAGATAATTCTATCTGATATCCACATTTTTTAAATATGTTAGGCAAATTTTTACAATTATTTTTAATTAAACTTTAAAATGTATTCTGCCGTTATCATATTTTCTTAACTTGTCGATAAACGTATAGTTTTCAATTTTTTTAATATTTGGAAACTTTTTATCACAAGTATATTATTACTAGTTGCTAAATACTCGCTAACGCAATTTTAGGACACGCTTTTTATTATCTAGATTTTATTTTGTTCATCTTATGCTGTAGTTTATTTCATATTAATATTCGTGCTTTAGATCTAAATTTTAAAGCTATTCAATTACTTTAACGCGATAAAAAGTTAATGTTATTTTTTAATACCTTTCTGTATAATATTTTTCATATTTATATCTGAGAAAACTATCAATAAATACTATTATTTATGCCAAACCTATATGCAGTACCATATGGCACAATACAAAAGCCGGACTAGTGCGGTGACGTCACAAATCGATGTCTCTGGCCTGTCTGTCATGTTGGTCATGCTACTATGCTTATTTACAAGAGCGGAGCATTCACCCGTAAAAAAATTGGCGTTACTCAAGCGTGAGGTTCTCCACGTGAGGATTGGCCATTTGCCTGATCTTTTGTGATATTAATTACAAATATTGAATCCTCGAGAGAAAGACCACCAATGAGTCAGTCTTGAAATTTGATATAATCTTGTCAAGGGACATCGCAGAGTAACAATTCTAAAGCAAATCCGTTTTAATATTATTTAGTTCAGAATTAAGATATTCTTGGTCTCTACATAGAGGGCGTTTCAAAAAACATGTGCCATCTCTCGTGAGGAGATCCCTCACGTAAAAATAAGTTTTATTTTTCATATCAACATTAGTCCGATTCTACTTTGTTTCCTAGCTACAGGGTGTTAAAGTCTGTATTACAATTTTCTTCCAAGTACTTTCAGTGATTTGAATGAAATTTTGAAGGTAAAAGTTGCTATAAGTGCTTCATATTTTAATGCTAAAAAAGTGGAAATAAATTCACCAGGGACGTGCATATGGGTTATCACTGGAATATTAAAAAAAAATATGTGTGCCACTGACTTATATTCTTTTGATATTAAAATTGAGTAGGCCGTTTAATGCAAATTAAAGGCCATCTCTTGATATTTTGTCAATTAAATTAAAAATTAAATTAATATATTTTACAGAATTTATTATTAAATATTATTACTATTAGTTATTATTACTATTAGTCCAGCCTACAGCAATTTTAAATATAAAATAATGGTATTTAAGATAATTACAAAAAACCCAATTTTAAAAAGTTTTAACATCCTGTAACTCTAAAACTGTGCATTTCGATAACCATGTTTATAGGAACTTTTTTCCTATTTTTTGATGAGGAATCAATGAGTACTTATTTAAAACTTTCGCAAGTTAATGAAATTATTTTTTTAAAGGTTATTAGACTTGGATCAAGGCAAATTAATAAAATTGCGTTTATCTCATCAAGGAGGCCGAAATCGACAAAATATCAAGAGACAACTTTTAATCGGCATTAAACTGCTTACACTATTTTGCTAACAAAAGAAAAAAAGTCAATGGCGTACATGGTTTTTTTAGAAAAATATTCCAATGATAACCCATATGCACGTCGCTGGTGAATATGTCGACACATTTTTAGTATTAAAATATGTCGCATTTATAGTAACTTTTACCCTCAAAATTTTATTCGAAACGCTAAAAGTACTTAGAAAAATATTACAATAAATTGAAAAAATATTAAGACTTTAACACCCTGTAGCTACGAAACAAAACAAAATCGGACTTATGTTGATATGAAAAATAAGTCTTATTTTTACGTGAGGAATCTTCCCACGAGAGATGGCACATGTTTTTTGAAACATCCTGTATATTGATTGTTCGATGATATAATGTTTTAACTATACCTATTTTGGTTGCTTCAGAATGGTTTAACTGAGAATTTAAATACTCTTCTGCAGGTATGTGTGTTTTAATTAGATCACAGTTAGTCAAAGCTTTGTGTAAGTAAAAATAAATAAAGACAATAAAACCTGCTATACAGGGTGGCCCATCGAAAACGTTCCGCAAGGCATAACGGCCAGAGTAATTTTTTTTTCAGAAAATTCAAAAACACGTCAATTTTGTTTGTGAGGGGGACGACTTTTGCCCCAAAAATGAATGCATAATCTTCAACCCTCTAAGCGGGGGTGTCATCCCCCAGCTTTTTTCAAATGAGAAGTGGCGTCAAGTGGCACCGCAATGAAAAGAGCCTTCTATTCTCTATATTTTCCCGCTTCGTTTTTGAAAATCGGTCGACTCATTGAGAAAATATGAAGGATTGAAATTTGAAAAATTTATTCAAACATTTATCAGAGTAAATGATAAGAACAAATTCCTTCGACCAATTTGCTGTTTTTTCTTATTGTTTCTAGATGTTTACGCATTTTTTCACTTGCCACAAGGTTGAAGGATCAGTTGCGGTAGTTGCTAGATAGCTGTTCTGTGACTTGTGCGTTGAGGTTCTCCTCAATATCGTTAAACTTTTTAACAATCATGGTGTACTCACTTGCAGAAATAGTGGAAATAATCGAACTTTATTTTAAAAATAATGAATGTATCGGGTTGCGCACATAGTCAATGAACGCTATCCTGACAAACACCTTTATGGCAAAATTGTTCGCGAGTTAGTAGCAAAATTTCGCGAAACTGGTTCTGTTATGAACAAAAAGAGGCAGAGGGAAAATCCTGTAGTAAATGAAGCTATGGCGGTATTCGTATTGGGCCAAGTTGCCATGGATAGTACGCTGAGTACAAGAAAATTAGCCAATGAGACCGGCGTGAATCGTACAAGTGTCCAAAGAATATTAAAAAAAACAGAAGTTCCACCCGTACAAAATTCAGTTGGTACAAGAACTCAACGAAGACGATTTTGATCGTCGCTTGGAATTTTGTGAAACTATGAGTGAACGAGTGGCAAATGATAATAATTTCCTATTTAATGTGTGTTTTTCGGATGAGTGTACTTTCTTTTTGAACGGTGTAGTTAATCGGCACAACTGGGCACAACTGTCGGTACTGGGCTGAGGAGAACCCCAGGGTTTTTCACGAGGTGCACACACAAAACCCTCAGAAATTGAACGTGTGGGCTGGTATTTTTGGAAATTCTATTGTAGGTCAGTTTAACGATATTGAGAAGAACTTCAACGCACAAGCCACATAACAGCTAGCAACTACCGCACCTGATCGTTCAACCTTGTGGCAAGTGAAAAAATGCGTATACATCTAGAAATAATAACAAAAAACAGCAAATTGATTGAAGGAATTTATCCCTTTCATTTACTTACTGATAAATGTTTAAATAAACTTTTCAAATTTCAATCCTTAATATTTTCTCAATGACTCGACCGATTTTCAAAAACGAAGCGGGGAAATATAGAGAATAGAAAGCTCTTTTCATTGCAGTATCACTTGACCCCCCTTCCCATTTGAAAAAAATTGAGGGATGACACCACCGCTTAGAGGGTTAAAGATTTTGCAATCATTTTTGGGGCAAAAGTTGTCCCCCTCACAAACAAAGTTGACGTGTTTTTGGATTTTTTGAAAAAAAAAATACCCTGGCCGTTATGCCTTGCGGAACGTTTTCGATGGGCCACCCTGTATATACAGTGTGACCCACTCAAGACCGGGCACCCTCCATAAAATCTGTGTTTATAGTCCGATTTTGATGATTTTTTTTTTCAAATATAAAGTTTCAAAAAATGTACTTTAGGGCTCAATGTCATGTTATTTCACAAAAAACCAGGCCTACTTAATAAAATTTTTGTGGTGAAAAATTTGCAAAATCATATTAGCGATTTCAAAAAATTTGAGTACACCCCTACATTCGGCATCCCCCAAAACAGTTCTGTACCAAGTTTCGTTTAAAAATATTAATTATTAATAATTCTGCAGTTAAATTAAATAATTCCCTATTTTTGCCAATTTAACGATGAGTTATCAAGTAACCCTTGAAAAAAACAATCCACGACAACGAGTTTTATTACAAACAATGATAAAAATACTACAAGCAACACAATAACCGAATAATAAGTTAAACATATTCAAATAATTCTAGTTGCTTCTACCAGCCCTCCATTCAGTTCAATACATTTGTCGCATCTTTTTCTTAGATTAATGCGTATTAGAATTGCAGAAGCCTCTGTAATTCTAATACGTAATTCATCTACAGATTGAGGTCTAGACTTGTAAACTTGTTGCTTTAAGAAACCCCAAAGAAATAAATCAAGGGGTGTTAGGTCCGGGGATCTCGGTGGCCACTCAATTAGCGGGCTATTTCGACCTATCCACTTATTTTCAAAATTTTCATTTAACCATTCCCTGACAACTGCCGCGTTATGCACAGGTGATCCGTCCAATTGAAATTTTAAATTCAAACGGGTTTGGCATGGTAAATTATGTATTGCATCCCAAAAGTCATTAATCAGAAAATTCAAAAACGTTGGACTATTCAAATTTCTCTCAAAAAAATATGGACCAATGATTCTATCATCAAGTATGCCACACCACACATTTAATTTCTGAGAATACTGTCTTCTTGTATTGATCACCCATTCAGGGTTTTCGACTGCCCAGAATCGCGAATTTTGAGAGGATACTACTCCGTTTGTACTAAATGTTGCCTCATCACTAAATAAAATTTCTTTTAAGAAATTTCTATTATTTAAATACTCTGCTTGAGCCCATAAGCAGAATTCTAATCGTCTAACATCATCTCCGTTTTCCAAAGTGTGTAAAATCTTTGGTTTAAAGGGTTTAACTTTATTAGTTCGCAAACATCTCCTAATATTTTCCCTTGGTATATCCAAATCAACACTGGCGCCTCTAATGCTTGCACGAGGATTGTTACGAAAATATTCTAATATTTCCTCATTCCGCCTATTTATTCGATGTTCCGGCCTTCTGTTTTTTAGTAAGTATTTTGACACACAACCAGTTTCATTAAAAACTCTATTTATTCGTTGAACCGTGCTTCTACTTACTGCAGGTCTGTCGGGATGTCTGTTGTTAAATTCTCTGGCAGCTTCTCCTGCTTGAAGATAGTTATCACCCACTAAACGAATAATTTCAATTTTATCCCTAATATTTAATTGTTCCATAATGCAAATAATATTTCTTGATACAACACTTTTCTGCGTGCTATTAAATTAATATTCAATTCTACGCTGCAAGAATTGACAGCTAATAAAACCCATTGTTGTGGATTGTTTTTTTCAAGGGTTACGTGATAACTCATCGTTAAATTGGCAAAAATAGGGAATTATTTAATTTAACTGCAGAATTATTAATAATTAATATTTTTAAACGAAATTTTGTACAGAACTGTTTTGGGGTATGCCGAATGTAGGGGTGTACTCAAATTTTTTGAAAAAAAATCGCTAATATGATTTTGCAAATTTTTCACCACAAAAACTTTATTAAGTAGGCCTTGTTTTTTGTGAAATAACATGACATTGAACCCTAAAGTACATTTTTTGAAACTTTATATTTGAAAAAAAAATCATCAAAATCGGACTATAAACACAGATTTTATGGAGGGTGCCCAATCTTGAGTGGGTCACACTGTATATGTTTAAGCTAAAATTTACCTTATTTTAACTTGCTTGCAGGTGTTAGCTTGAGTTTAGTTGTTTCTTCAACGGTAGCTGGTATGGTATCACAATCAGCATTGGGTTGGCCATGGGCTGTGTATTTGTTCGGAATAGTCAATTGCGTATGGTGTCTGGCATATTTCTTCTTCGGTCAACAGAGTCCATCGTCTCATCCGAAAATATCAGCTGAAGAAAAAAAATATCTTCAAGTTACATTGAAGCAAAGTGATAACGACGAAGTATATGAAATTAGGAAAGTAATTATGAAAAAATAAGTGATTTATATTTGCAGAAAAGTGTTACACCATGGCTAAAGATCTTTACTAGTACGAGTGTCTGGGCTATTTTAGTCGGCCTGGTTGGAACTAACTTTATTTTGACAATGGTACTCTCGGAAAATCCGATATATCTGGATAAAATAATGAAATTTGATTTGGATATGGTTAGACTCATTTTTTTTAATAAACAAAAATTTAATTCCTACTGTATGTTCTCTATTTATTTCAGAGTGGTCTAGTTATGGGAGGATCAATTCTTATTGGTTCATTAAGTGGTGTCTTCATAGCTTTTCTCTCAGACTATGTAGTTAAAAACGAAGTTTTGAGAATAGTCAATAGCCGAAGATTGTTTCATTTACTAGGTTTGTCAATATACTACAAAATCTACACTGTTACACACATAATAATTGAAAAAGTTACTTTCAAATGAATCCGTTGACTTCAAAACTTTTTCACACTTATTAATTTACACCCTACATATTTTAGCAAATTTATCTATTTGTTTAGGTCAAGTAGGCTGTTCGGTAACTGTAATTCTGGCAACTTATATTCCTGTTGAGAAGTCGCTGTTAATGATTGTGATCATTTGTGTCGAATGTATCTTTATAATAGTGTCTTCCGTTGGCGGATGCGACCTCAGTGCTTTTGATTTGTCTCCTAACTTTGCGGGGGTTATATTTGGAGTAGCTGGCACTTTAGCAGAAGGAACTGGACTCTTTGCACCACTTTTGGTCCATTGGATTGCACGAGACGAAGTAAGAGTGTTATGGAATATGATATTATAACATCATAGTTTAAGGAAAAGAGTAGTTGCACTCTCGCAAATATTTTCTGCCAGTTTTTGCGAGCTGTCGAATATCGGCAGGTTGCAAAGCGTTTCAGTTAAATTCGGTCCGTCGAGCTGTGAGGTTCGAGCGTTGCGTCCGAGCACAGGGACGGATTGACAAAAAATGAGTGCCTTACTGTGCGCTGCTATTAATTGTGGAAATAATTCAAAAAATTGTTCTTTGAGTCTTTTTAGATTTCCATCGGATATAAATCGGCAAGCTGATAGTAATTATCAATTAACATTTAATTATATTTGTTTATTTTAGAAGCTGAGATATTATGTAATTAATTAAATGTTATTATTTTTTTAGCATGTGGGCAGATTTTAAAAATAGTTTTTTAGATATACAGATTGTCTCAAATATGTGCATGAAAATATTTTTTGGTCAGGGGATTTTCCATAAAATTTTCATTCCAATAATAATTTACGAGATAATTTATATAAATTGGTTTTTGAAACAATTTTAGAGTAAATATTTTGTACATCTAAAGTCTCCACAAATTATTCATATTTTTTAATTGAAAGAATTTTATAATAGCATAATCTCTTATAAATTTAGTGGACTGTATTTGTTATGTTTTTTTATTTATTTTTTATTATAAGTGGTCGTAATATAACAATATTCAAAATATTATAGACAAAATATTGAGTTTATATTTGAGGGAAGAAAAGTACCACACCTAGCTTTAAACCACCGTAAATAAACAGGGTGGTCCATTAGTGCGAGGAAGTTCAATATCGTCGTCGTTGTCGAAGATGTGAAAAAAGTTTTATTCATATGTTTCAAGGTTTATAAAGGGGTGTATCCTAAAATATTTTGTTATATACAGGGTGTCACAAAAAAAGTTATGGTAAAGTTAGTTTGATTTTTTTTTATTATTTTACATCATTCTATATACATTATTCTATATTGGGTATTTTTATGGCGTCACCAAAATCGCAATATTTAGAAGGGTATATCTCATTTTTTTTAAATGCGACATTCAATATATTATTTTCTTTGTCAGATGCAGAATTAAAAAGTGAACATTTTTTTATTAATTTAAAGTGTTTCTAAATTTTTACCGCTGTTGCAGATATTCGCAGTATTATATTACATATGGCTCTTTCAACAGTAAATTTTTATCAAAGCCACCTAATAGAATCTTTGTCTGTCTTGTCTTGTCAAAAAATGTTCACCTTTTAATTCTACATCTGAAAGAAAAATAATATACAAGGTGTTGCATTTAAAAAAAAATGAGATACAACATTTTTTAAATATTACGATTTTGGTGACGCCATAAAAAATATCCTGTATAAGATAAAGTAAATTTTTCTACACGAATTTATTCCGATATCCTTCATGTTTAAGAAAACATAGCAAAATATTAATAAAGTTATATTCACTCTAGTTTTTTACCACTTTTCGTATATAATGTTTTTAACCAAAGTTTTTTAGTAAATAAGAAATAGAATGGCAACACCGCAGTGTGCTTTAAATAAAGACAGTGTACTATAGCATAATTTTATGCCGAATCCAGTTATCTACAGAAAATTAAACTTGCTTTAAATAAAAAAAAGTCGTAGAAAATCTCTGAAATAGATAATAATATAAAAATATGTCATTATATATTTTTTCCGCATTTTTTCCCATTAGAAGATTTTCAGATACAGAAGAATTGTTACCTACACGAAATGTGAAAATATTCCGTTTTCAAGCAAGTTTTTACTCGATGATCATTTTTTTTTATTTTATTGTGAACTCATATTTTCCTAAATACATATCTGTGAAACTATGGCGAGTGCCACGTCTATACTTTGCCTAGTTAATAGACCACGACTATACAGCTACGTCGTCGGCTACGGAGGCAAGAACAAGGTCATATAAAGTGGCAGAAAAAGAACAAAGGATTTGACAAGGAGTAAAACTACTAGTTTCCTTATACTATGATAACATGTTGCTGTACAAGTAGTGACAGAGATAAAGAATATAGTAATTTTTGTTAAAATAAAAAAAAAATATTTTAGGAAAATATTGTGAGTTGGAGAATTGTCTACTGTATAACTGGAGCTATATCGGTGTCATCGGCTGTCTTCTACTGTATTTTTGCAAGTGATAAACGAAAAAATTGGTAGAAGTTAGAAGAAAACGTGTTTATAGATTAAAGGTCCCCACGGACTGTCAGATTTTCCGCACAAGGCAGCAAAGTAAAGAATACATAATAAAATGGTCATAAATCAAAAATTCACAGTCAAATCACAAGAATAAAAAATCTTTATTGGGCGAGTAAACAGAATGCAAGACAGAAATCTCGGGAAGCAATTCCCAACGTTCAAATCATGTGCTATTGGAAATTGGAAAACTATTGTAGAATGTAGAATAAGAGATATAGACCTTAAAAAGCTATTGTGTCCCCCTTTCCTGAGTTATAGCTCATCGTACAGTCTAAAAGTCATCATACATGGAGATCTTCCTGTTGTAGGGGGACAGGGTATTATTTTGTTTTATTTATTATTCAGCAATGATAAGTCTCGCATCTCCTAGAGGAGACTCGCAATAGTACAGGTTAAACTGAGAAAACTGGTTTGCCTGTGTTGAAGAACTGAGCATCTGTGGTAAACTAAACGTTTGTGGGGACTCTTGAGATTATATTTTTCTAAAATAAATGAATATAAATTATAAGGTCTATTTTTCATTCGTTTGTAAATTGGAAAGGTATCTACAGTTGCAGTGCAAGCAATAAAAAATAAATAAAACAAAAATCATATTACCTCAACTGCGTGTTCTAAGATTTATGGTAATATGAATTTATCACAGTTTATGGTAATATTAATTAGGTGTGTTTGGTTACAAAATTACGCCTATTCATTAGTTTTGGTTTTAATTCTTGTTCTGCCACTTTAGTCATTAGGCAACCAATAAATTAAGATATAAAAGAGGAGATAATAATACAAAAATCGGTTATTGTATTCAAATGATAACTCTGTTATCTATTTATTTTAGCATGATCTCTTACTAGAATTGAACTTGTTGGTGGAGAATCTTTTACAATAATCCTAGTAGTCTTGGTGACCATCATCTCTTAGTAACTCACAGAACTCGAAAGTAGTTTTATGGCAAAATTAAATAATAAAAAGTACTTGTGTACCTCTTTGTGATGAATAAATACAAATGGCCATTCTAAAAATAAAGCAGTGAGGTTAATATTCTCTTTATTCAACAATATTTTCAGATCTATACTAATATATAAAATCCTTAAGTGACTGACATACTGATTAATCAAGATCCTGCTCAAACCACTCAACGTAAGAAGCTCAATTTTGGCATACAGGTTGATTCTAGGGTGTAGAGGTTCGATAAGAACGGATTTTTCGAAATTCCAGTTCCAAGAGGGTGAAACCACCCCTCAAATATTACAATATTTTTTATTTAAAAAACGGTCACGTTTCCGAAAAAACGCTTAAACACGTATATTTTATTTTGTTTTTTTACATATTTTAAGATTTTTTAAAAATGTATACAAGGTGTTTCGAAAAATCAGGTCATTGATTAATCACGATCCTGCTTAAAGCGCTTGACGTAAAAAACTGATTTTTGGAAAACAGATTGACTTTAGGGTGTGGAGGTTCGATAAGAAGGGATTTTTCGAAACTCGAATTCTAAGGGGGTGAAACTATCCCTCAAATATTAAAATATTTTTTATTTAAAAACCGGTGAGTTTTTCGGAAAAACTCTTAAACTCGTATATTTTATTTTGTTGTTTTACATATTTTAAGACTTTTTATAAATTTATACAGGGTGTTTCATAAAATATGACCATTGAGTAATCACGATTCTGGAACTGCTTGACGGTTAAAGCTGATTTTTGGGAAACTGATTGACTGTGGGATGTAGAGGTTCGATAAGGAGGAGTTTCTCGAATCTAAAATTCCAAGAGGGTGAAAACGCCCCTCAAATATTACGATATTTGTTATTTTGAAATTTTTAAAAAAATCATACAGGGTGTTCCAAAAAGTTGGGTAATTTCTTAACCACGATTCTACTTAAACTGCTTGACGTAAAAAGCTTATTTTTTCAAACGGATTTTTCGAAAATCAAATTCCAACGAGATGAAACTACCCCTCAAATATTACCAAGTTATATAATAATATCGCCATATTGTTTTTTCCCATGCTGACATAAATGTGAGAAAATTATATCCAGTTTGTATGTTAATGGAAACTCTTGCTTTGCTTTATCATTACCATTACAAATGATTAATTCGACGCGAACGAAATCGCTGGTACACGCTAGTCTTTGTATATATCAGTTTTTCTAATAAATAATTATTACCGATTAGATACACATATCTATCTGTTCGAAGTACTTTAAAGTATTTTTAAAGTTCGAATTTGAATTTATTTTGTCTAGTCTGTATTGTTCCTAATCATATGGGGAGCAATTTTATATACTCGTTTAAATATTAAAAAAATCTGGTGATTACGGGCTACTCTTTGGACTTTCATTTCAGCAGATTTTGGCAAAAAATAAAATGATATAAGTACTTATTTTTCCTTTTAAGAACAACTTCCTTTTCATGTTGTTAAATTAATATTAAATTAAAATATAATAATTGTTTTTGTATTAATACCTTTTTCTTAAAAAATATCTATACTACTGTGGCGGATTCATCTCTCCAAAAAAGTTCTATGTGTATTTCACCACTTGTACTGTAAGAAAATCTACAAAATTAAATAGTTGTTTTTTATAAACACCGCTGGGTTAATCCAATGGAGACCAACTTGTCAGCAGTGACATACTAATAAACAAATTTGCCTAACAAACAAAAAATGCTTAACGTTTTGGGAATTTCTGGGATACAAATAATACCTTGCTTTATCATTTTTGGCCATTTTTTTGTACCTGTAATATTTCAAAACGATGTTATTTAGTAGATCTTGATGGTTCCTCAATATCCAAAAAAGATGTTAAACATAGTATAAAGTATTTCTTAAATGTTGGTGATGCGATCTTCTAGCACACACACACATGAACACTATAGTTAAAAAAGGCATGTATGTTTTATTTCCTTCCCAAGATATCTGTGAGGTATTCAAATACCCCACACGGATAAAACTCGTTACTATTATCATTATTAAATATTTAGCAATTTGATATCTTGTTTAATAAATGAATATGGTATATCTCAGTTCAATCTTAAATAAGTGCAAATATCTTTAGTAAGTTTTATGTTTACACCTCAGAAACATTTCGTTTTTTTGCGATTTTTTTTGAAAAAAATTGGAGTTTTTTTAAATTTTTAATTAAAAAACATAATGTCTTGATTAAATTACATAAGGGAACTGTTCGATGACGGTGGCCCCTCTTTTCACTCCCAAATAGAAATTGAAAATGGTCCAGATATAATGATCTCAGAAATCGAGAGAGCTTTAAAGAACACCAAAAACGGGAAAGCAGCTGGACCGGACAACATCTACCCAGAATTGATAAAACTAATAAACGGAGACAATTTAAAGTTATTGGTAAACCTCTTCAATTCTGTATACAATACCGGAAACATACCGCAGGACTGGCTAAGGTCGACATTTATACCTATTCCTAAAAAAACTGGTGCAAAAAGATGTGATCAGTTTCTTTTAATAAGTCTGATGAGTCAAGTCCTAAAGTTGTTTTTAAAGGTTCTGCATAATCGAATCCGAAGAAAATGTGAGCTAGACATAAGTGAACAGCAAATGGGATTTCGCGAGGGACTGGGGACGAGAGAAGCCCTGTTTGCGCTATCGGTGCTTTTGCAGAAGTGCAGAGATCAACGAAAGGAGGTACACCTATGCTTCATAGACTACACGAAGGCATTCGACTGCGTCAACCACAGGGAATTGCTGAGCATCCTTGAAAGAAGAGGCCTGGATACTCAAGACCTGAAAATTATCCAAAAGCTATACGAACAACAAGTAGCTACAGTAAAACTACAGGACACTGAAACAACAGCAATACCTATCAAGTGTGGAGTTAGGCAAGGATGCGTATTGAGCCCTATGCTCTTCAATATGTACTCCGAACTAATATTTCGAAATGCGCTTGAGGGATCAGAAGACGGCATAAAAGTGAATGGCAGGCTGATTAACAACATGAGATATGCTGATGATACCGTCGTTATTGCAGACACCACTGAGGGCCTGCAAAGACTTCTTGATAGACTGTCCTCGGTGGGCGACTCAATGGGTCTCAGGATAAATACAAACAAAACAAAAGTCATGGTGATAAATAGAGATGCAAGACAGACAACGGAGGTAGTCGTAGGTGGGACACCAATAGCAAGAGTCTCAAAGTTTAGATATTTCGGCAGTTGGATTAGTGAAGACCTAAACCCAGACATTGAGATCAGAGCTCGAATTGAGATGGCTAGATCAAACTTTCTAAAATTGAGGAACCTACTGTGCGATAAACCTCTCAACATCCATATAAAAGAAAACTTCGTCAAGTGCTACGTACTTTCCACACTTCTCTACGGGATTGAGTCGTGGACACTCGAAGTAAGCGCAATAAATAAGTTGGAAGCATTTGAGATCTGGGTATATCGCAGAATGCTGAGAATACCATGGACTGACCGTGTCTCGAATGAACGAGTTCTAAATCAAATGAACAAGGACCGAGAACTCCTCGACATAATAAAAAAGAGGAAAGCAGCCTATTTGGGCCATATCATGAGACATAGCAAGTATGAATTCCTTCAGCTCATCATCGAGGGTAAAATTGATGGAAAGCGCGGACCCGGACGACGGCAATGCTCCTGGCTGAAGAACATTAGAGATTGGACAGGCCTGGATTCACATACTTTGCTGAGAAGAGCGAAAAATAGAGAGGAATTTGCCATGGTTGTTGCCGATCTTCACTGAATGGAGAAGGCACTTTAAAAAGAAGAAGAATGTCTTGATAATATGGCAACATGAGGGTTTGAGAACAACTGAATCTTTTCAGGGTTTTCTTTATTGTAAATTTAATCCATTACGTATGTTGTCATATTATTAAGAAATATGTTTTTAACTAAAACCTAAAAAAATCCAAAATGTTTTCAAAAAACTAATTATTGCAACTAATTATTATTAATTTAAGTATAAACTGTAATCTTAAATTAAACGCCTTGTATGCACTAAGTAATCTATTTACTTTACGACCATTCACCAATTTATCATTCATATTTCTTGCTAAATACTCAAGTAGGTATCTCTTCAAGAACCTCATTATTTCTACAATAATTAACAAATATGTATTATAAAGTAATTAATTTCATCGATTTTCGATTATTTATGTAATCTTCGTCCGATTATGAGGTAATTGAAGAAAGCTATACTTAATCATAATCAAAATCAAACGGCAAACAACATTTTATCTCGCCGGCAACAAGTGTTGAACTGTATAAAACACTTAAATACGTACCAGCAACAGTTGAAACGTTTCACTCGTCAATTTACTCCATTTCTCGAAACTAGTCATCAATAAAGAATTTTTTCGCTGCAAGCTTCAGCAAAAAATCGGCAAAATGGCTTCTCTCGCTAAGAAAAAAGTTAGTGTTCAAATCAACGACACCAAGTTACAGATAATGGAAATAAAGCCTAACAAAATTGAAGAAGAAATTACGGATAAAGGTAAGTTACTCAATTCTAGTTATTTTATTACCAAAATAAAAAAAAAACTATAAAAAGTGATAATTTTAAACTGCAATTTTCATCTATATACAGGGTGGTCCGAACTATATTCTATAGCATATTCTGCAGATAAAAATAAGTAAAAATTTTAGAATAAATGTATGTCCTAAAATACTTAGATTCGGAGATACAGGGTGTAGAACTTTCATTTTTATTTCAATTTTTTCCAAATAATTTCTGAAGTAACGTCAATATTTGGATAAAAATTGGTGTTTGTAGGTTTTTTGACATGATAAATTTGATTTTGATGTCAATATGACTCCTATTTGTAGGGGGCGCCACCTACATGTGTTTTAACCCTTTTGAAAACTAATAACTTTTTGTCCGTTCTTGTATAAAACTACTGAGTGAAAAAATATTCATTTCCGTGACTTTTTACGTAAAAAATGTCTCTTGGAAAAAATGGCTACGAGCTACCGTTCTCAAGATATTTAGAATGGAAATAGTCAACACATGTCATTATTAACAAAAAATAAACACGTTGAGTAGATAGTTATTTGACTGAAATAATAAATTTGGGAAATTTGCATTTTTTCAAATTAATCATAATTTTTTTATTCGATTCCAAATATCTTGAGCTCGTATTACTCATAGCAATTTTTGCCAAGAGACCTTTTTTACGTAAAAAGCGTCGTAAATGTATATTTTTTTTAGTCGGTCGTTTTATACAGGTACGGACGAAAAGTTATTACTCTTCAAACAAGTTAAAAAATATGTAGGTGTTGCCCTCTACAAGTGGGAGTCATATTGACATCAAAATCAAATTTCTCATGTCAAAAAATCCCAGACAACAATTTTCATCTAAATATTTACGTACCTTCATAAATTATTTCGAAAAAATCCAAATAAAAATGAAACTTCTGCACTCTGTATCTCCGAAATTAAGCATTTTAGGACACACATTTATTCTAAAATGTTTACTTATTTTTATCTGCAGAATATGCTGCCGAAGTTTCCGGAATACAGTTCGGACCACCCAGTATATATTTTTTTACTAAAATATATATTCTAGGCCCTACTTTTGGATGTCGCTATGTTCAAATTATCTTAATGATGGTTGGAATAACCCTAGCTATTGGCATGAGAACAAACCTCTCAGTGGCAATTGTAGCAATGACAAATAGCACTGCCAGTCCAAATCCAAATATACCGGTAAAACATTTTGAAAAAAATCTAAATTTTTATAATAAAAATGAATAATTTTCAGACCTATGACTGGAAAAACACAAGTGTAATTTTATCCTCAATATTCTGGAGTTATATCACCCTCCAAGTGGTTGCTGGTTACGTAGGAAGAACATACGGTGTTAAATATTTCCTTCTAGGAGCTTATATAGTCAACTGTATCGGTCAGTTATTGATTCCTTTAGCGGCTGAACATTTGGGATCGACTGGAGTGATATTGTGCAGAATTATACAAGGTTTTGGTCAGAGTTTTTTGTACCCATCAGGCCATGTTATACTGGGTACCTGGGTACCATTTGAAGAAAGAACAACTTTAGGAAACATAATGTGGTCAGGTAAATGAAAACCACTAATTTTTATCATAAATATATTTGGATTTCGTTGGTATTTTAGGAATATATCTTGGTTCAATATTTGGATCAGTGTCAGCTGGATACATTTGCGAAAGTTGGTTAGGTTGGCCGTTTTTGTTTTACCTAATGGGTTCGCTCGGTCTAGCGTGGTCTGTATTATGGACTATTTTTGGTCAAAGCAGCCCGGATACGCATCCCAGAATAACAAAAGAAGAGAAAAAATATATCCAGGCATCTTTAAAACAAGAAAGCAACATTGTAAAGACTTTAATGCCATGTTTTACAAGACACATACTGAAATTAGATTATTTTAGCAAATACCGGTACCATGGAAGAAGATTTTCAATTTTGTACCGATGTATGCTTTGCTGTTGTGGTACTTTAGTAACGTGTGGTGCTATAACACAATGATGGCTGAAATGCCAACATATCTATCGAAAGTAATGAAATATAGTGTGCAATCGGTGAGTGTTTTTTTTGTTTTGCCGATAAGTTTTTTTTAAACATATTAAAAAAAATTAAGATAATATTTTTAAGATTGGAATTTTGAAATACTTTAATATCCCAAATAAGTCAATTTTTAATATATTAATAATTATATAATATTAATTATTAATACTTACATACTGCCATTACTCGCTGACGAATATTTGAAACGCATCAGACGATGGTTGGCGACTCAACCACCTACGCTTTGCGGATGATATCGTTATAGTGTCAGATAGTCTGGGAGAGATCAAAGACATGCTTCAAGAACTTAACGATGCATTACACGAGATTGGACTAACAATAAATTTTGACAAGACTAAGATAATGACTAATATGGTGCCCAGCGAACACATACAAATTCACAACAACAGAATAGAATTAGTCCACAAATATGTATACTTGGGCCATGAGATCAAAATAAGCAGAGATAACCAAACCTGTGAACTGGCTAGACGAATTACCTTGGGATGGGCGGCTTACGGAAAAATGAGGGACATCTTTAGAGCAAATATCCTAATACACCTGAAAAGAAAGGTATTTAACCAATGTATCCTCCCGGTTTTGACCTATGGCGCAGAGACACTCGCTCTAACAAAAGCAACCGCAGAAAAATTGAGAGTGACACAGAAGCGGATGGAGAGATCTATGATTGGCCTGACTTTGAGAGATCGAGTAAGAAATAAAGAGATACGCCGACGTACGGGAGTGGATGACATTATCCAGCGAATCACAAAACAAAAGTGGAGATGGACTGGACACATTACTAGAATGGTAGACGGGAGATGGACCAAAAGACTTATAGAGTGGAGACCAAGAGCCGACAAGAGTAGCCAAGGCAGACCTCCCACCCGATGGACCGACAACCTGAAACGAATAACAACTAACTGGATTGCAACAGCTAAAAACCGCGAGAACTGGAGACGTTTAGAGGAGGCCTATGTTCAACTATGGACGTGAAAGGGGGCTGCGCGATGATGATGATGATGATGAGACGATGGTTACACAAGGCATTTTCTTTAATGAGCTTTACTGTGACTGAAAAGCCCGATACGTGATGTTATTTCTCTTCTGCACTCGGGACATTCAAAAATCTCATTACTTTGTTGCCTCTTTACTTTTTGGTTCTCATTGTTAACTGAGTTTACCCTTCTAAGTTTTCATGGGAAATATCCTTGTACCTTTTTGAGCTATCTACATGGTTTCTTCTTACCATCAACAAGCTCACGGTAAAGAAGAGATTTCGGTAGGCAGTTCTGTTACATCTCGCAGACATGAGCTGCACATCTTAAGCGGCATTTAGTAATCATGACCGATACGTTTCAGACATGGTGGTACCATGTGATAATTGACAGTTCTTTATAGTGTCTCTGTTGTAACTTGTTTAATGCGTTCGTGTGCCAGCGGTACGACACCCAGGTTTTGCTTCCATATAACATGGGTGTTCAAGTCATGGTTTTAGAACCAAACCAGAATGCTCTCGAGGCGCTGCTAATCCTGCGCTAAACTTCAGAGTCGATATTAGGCTTTCCTGAAATCAAACTGCCAATAGTTCTTCTGCGATTTTTATAGCAGTGTTATGATTTTCAGGGAAAGACTTTATCAAAGTCAGGAGTTTTATGGATGTTCAGCTTAAGGCCCAAAGTCTTGTATGCTCAGGTATATGTGTTCAGTATTTCTTTTAACTGCTGTAACATTTTTGCAACTACAGCGCAGTCATCAGCGTATTAAAATTATTAATAATACACTCATAACAAATGAAAAAAATGTCATAAACTTTATATTTACTAATAAGGAAAAGATGTATTTGATATTTAAAAATATTAAATATTCTAATAATTTTGAATAAGTGAATTAATATTAAAATATTTTAACCTTATTTTCAGAGTGGATTGGTTGCCTCTGTCTCGACAGCAGCCACTTTTGTGTTTGCACTACTTACAGGACCCTTGTCTGACTGGATCATCAGAAACAAATATCTATCAACAGTGACGTCACGACGTTTGTTCAACTCAATAGGTAATGCCAAAATATGTTTTCTATATATATTATAGATTAAATTTTTTTTTTCTACAAACTCTGGAAATACTTTTTTATAAAACAATATTTCAGTTTTTAATTAATGTTCAGCATTTTCAGTAATTATGCAGAAATAACTTTCTTTAAAAGTAGACATATAGTAACAAATTTCTTATAGCAACGTTTGGTCTTGCCGGATGTCTGATTTGGCTTGGATATCTGGAGCCATCTAATCCTCACATGTCTATCTTGGTTCTGGGCTTGATGGGTATGGTTAGCGCTGGAATATTAGCTGGAGGCTCCGTGAGCCATTTGGACATTTCCCCAAGATTTTCTGGAGTTCTCTTTGGACTGTTGAATGGAACATCTCAAATATTCTCGATAGCTGGACCGTTATTATGCCAATGGCTGATTACCGATCTGGTAGGTTATTCACTCAAAATATTAAAAAATAGTACAGTTCTATCCAAAATGGTTGAAGTAGTTGGCTATTCTGATTTTACCCGTTTGATTGACAAGAAAGAAATTTAAATATTTATTAGTTCTTGTCACAAGCGTCAAAACAAACTAAAAATAAATAATACGATTGTATTTTTAATATTAAATCAGTTTTACATAATGATGACACTAAACAAAACGAGATAATAAAATAACTAGATTTAATCTGAATATTTTCTAATTTAATTTTTGAATAAGCGTCTCAAAATAAATAAAAAAAATATAGGGTAGGTTACTATTTCTAATAAACTTTGAAAATAAAACGCATATTAAGGTTTCATAAACTGGTTTTATACCAAAAAAGTTTGTTAGAAGATATCTTACGTAACAATATTATAAATATAAATTTAATATATTTCTTTTTAAATTTATAAAGCAAAATGTACCTATACAGGGTGTCCCAAGCTGAGCGTGCATTAGAAGTTTCTAGAGAACCACAACATCTAGATCGGAGATTTTTTGCACATCATTGTTTGACAACGAGATCTATGAATTAAAAATATTTTCAATATGACGGCACTTCCGGAAATACCGGAAGTTGACAGCAACTTTCTTATTTTAAATGAGTACTCTCATTTTTTATTACATACTTTAATTCTCTGTAAAATTTTGTGAATTTTGATAACAAACACTCTATACCAAACATTAGTAACCGTTTTTGCGAAAAAAAAAGTTTCCAATTTTTGGAGGAACAAACTGTCAAAAAAATGTCATAAATATTTTTTTTTCAAATAGAAACCCACTTTTTTATTTCGCTAGTGAAAAGGTTTTTCAATTCTTTACTGTTTGATTATTCATGTTCCTATACCTAAAATAAACGGTTTAAAAAAAATAGAAACCAATACTTGCTTTATTTGTGAAAAATAAAATGTTAAATTTTTTATTCAGATGATTTTCGTTATATCTCCGAAATTAATTGTTGTTCCTCAGAACTACACTTATTCAAAACCCTTAGAAATATATTCAGGAAATCTGCCGAAGGGTTTCAAATAGGAATTTAATTTTGATCAATATCCAACCAAAAAAAATAATTTAAAATAACAATTTTTTGGGTTTAATCTCAAAAATTGAAATTAAAAAAAACTACTTATTTGCTTCAACTTTAATATCTATGTTATTTTAGACCGATCCGCTTAAGTGGAGAATGCTGTTTCTCGGTTCTGCCGGATTCGCCATTGTTGGAGGAGTGGTCTATGTAATATTTATAACAGCTGACCGACAACCCTGGGATGGACCGGAGACACGTCAAAGCAAAATTAGGAAAATTTCGACGGTTAGTCTCACAGGAATCTAGCATCGTTAATAAGACTAGATTAAATGTTGTTAAGTTTTGTTATTTTATTTATTGGTCTGTGATATTAGTTTTAATATATTATTATTTAATTAAACATAAAATAATTACCGATTATTATTTGCAATAAAAAAGTTTAAAAGACAGATTTCTTTGTATTTCCCCATTCTTTTCGGATTTTTGTAAATAAACAGGGTTGCCAGATGTTAATCGGTCTTTTTAAAAATTAATTTTGCCTTGACTTCCGCCTTTTAACCCTCAACTGGCGTGGTGAACTTTTGTAACGCTTATGGCGTGCTGGGGTCCGACGAACCCCAATTTTTTTTCAGTTTAAAATACATGATGAAGAGATTTTATAAAAAGCTTGTTATTTTAACACTGTAAAATATATTCAAACTTGTGAACAAACAATTTCATTAATTTTCAAGAACGGGCACAAAAATAAAGTAAAACGCATATGTTAGGAATTTTTGACAACAGAAATATAACTTGGCTAAGAAACCCATAGAAATTAAAAACATATACAGGGTGCTACAAATTCGAGGTACGAGCATTGGTATCTCGGTAACCGTAATAGATACGAACATGGTTAAATTGGGGCAAAGTTGCGCTTTGGGATGTTCACCAAGATGCCATCAAAAAAGTTTTCAAAATTTTTGGATTGCTGAGTTTCTTGGAAAAAACGGATTTTTTTAAAAATGAATTTTATTTTTTCCCGTCGTTACTTTTAAGAAAATCAAAAAACAAATTGCAGATTCTCATAGCCACTTTATGAGGGCTATCTGATAGTATTTTTAGATTTTCAAATTAGCTGATAATTTGTGAGATACAGAGGCCAACTTAATTTTTTTAAATACGGACATGCATTTTTTATTTCATATTTTGAAAGAACTCGGTCTCCTGAATACAATGATATGCCACACTTAATATTTTTTTGTTTCAGAGATTTGAACACAATTATTTATTTAAACAAATTTCAAGTCCGGCTCTGTTTTTTTTTAAATATTTAATCTATTCATCGTTACAATATCGATAAGCTTTCAAACTTAAAAAAAATATGCAATAAAATAATAAAAAATAATATACAAATGAATACATTACTTCACGTCATTTGTAAAAGTGAAATCAATACATCTCAACATTAAGAGTATAAAATGCTTTCGAAAGTATAAGAAGAAAGTTCAAAGAGCTATAAATAAAATTGAACGAAAAATAAATTCGTGCAATAGGGAGGGTTGTAACCCTTTCGTAGAACATTAGAAACTAGTTTGTAGAAGTTCATTTATTTATAATAACTACGATGAATATTATGCATATTATTAGATCGCACATTGAGATTTCAAATTCACAATAAAACAAATAAAAATAATACATATATTTAAATTGCTGACCTGGATATAATTTATTTGAATCGTCCAATTGGCTCGATTTTCCTTATTCAATGTTAATTAGCGCTGATCAATATGTATATTACAATGAATATAATCAGATTAAAGAATTAAAAAAACAGAATCGGACTTGAAATTATTTTAAATACTAATTATATAGTTTTTTGTTGTTAAGGTACCAAAAACAAAAAAAAGTATAAAGTGTGGCATATCATTGTACTCAGGAGACCGAGTTCTTTCAAAACCGAAAATAAAAAATGCTGGTCCGTATTTAAAAAACTCACTCACAAATTATTAGCTAATTTGAAAATCTAAAAATACTATCAGATAGCCCTAATAAAGTGGCTATGAAAATGTGCAATTAGTTTTTTGATTTTCTTTAAAGTAACAACAGGAAAAAATAAAATTGATTTTCAAAAAAATCAATTCCAAAAAACGTTTTTTTGTCATTTTTGTCACTTATTTAAGACTCACCCTGTATATGCAACCAAAAAATAGTGTATCTAACTTCTGTGAATGATTCTACAGAAATAAAACAAAATGCTTCTACAGGGTCCGGCAATAATGCGTCGGGCATCTGTAGCTCCTAGAATAAAAAACGATTTTGTTTAAGTGTAAACCTAAAGTATGTACAAGGATGTATTTGAGGAAAATATTTTAACTTCTATAGGGTGACTCAAAAAAATGTTGGTGGATCGGGATGATTTTTTTTTATAAATTGAATACCCAGTATATTATTACATTTTTGCCTTCCTTTCAGATCACTTTACATAATCCTATAAGATATGAATAAATATATTTCGATAGTTTCAAAGATATTAATAAATAAATAAATAATTTATATTTTTCAACCTTATACAAAAACAAATACAAGAACTGCCCTGAGATCAAAACTATATTAGGTATTTACTTTAGATGGTCTATACTTAACTTTGCTATGAATATCGTAATCTTAAATCTTACAGGATGTTCAAAATTCTACGCCAAACTTTCTAAAATATAAAATAATTTTTCTTTGTTTTTTTTTTTAAATGGAACACCCTCTATATTATTTTTTATTAGAGGGAGAATTAAAAAATGAACATTTTTTGTATTTAAAGTATTTCAAAATTATTAATGGTTTCGCAAACACACGCAGTATTATTTCATATGGCTCTCTCAACGGTAAAACACTCAAAAAAAAATTGCAGCATTGTATTAGCATTCAATATTTTTATCGATTCGACAAAACATTCGAAAACGTACCGTATGAACGGGCTGTTAGCCTATTATATACGTTCAGTAATTTTTAAATACCAGTGATTAAAGTTAGATTATTTTCCAATCCTATATTACCCTCACAGTTTCAAGAACTTCACCAATAAACATAATCACATGGCATTTTTCATCAAGTGTTTTTGTTACAACTGAAAAATATAACTGTTTGTGTATTTTAAATATTTGGCTATGTAATTAAGAAATAATTGAATACATACTTAAAATATAATCAAATTAATTTGTAATCAAACAAATTATCATACTTATCATCGGCACAATGTAGGCTGTGTTTGATTATGCAAAATATTTAAACGGGATAGCTATTCAAATTTCAGATCTTTCCAAATTTCCTGTCACTATTGAACTAACTATCCGGTGGGAAGAAACAAGAATGGGTCTCAAAAACGATAATATTATTAATGTTGAAAGAAAAAGCTTTGAGAATAAAGTGACTGGTTTCAGTAATAAAACGATACCAAACAAAGGTAAATAGTCGAATATTAAATATATTGAATTATAAAAATTGCATAATCCTTAGGCCCAAAATTTGGTTCTCGTCACATGCAATGTGTTCTGGTTATGTCCGGTCTGACTTTTGCAATAGCCATGAGGACAAATCTATCAGTTGCCATTGTAGCTATGGTTGATAATTCGACTAGTCCAAATCCAGAAGTACCAGTAAGTACTATTGTTTTTAACGTTGATACAATCCTAGTAAACTTAAGAGAATAACTACTAAATTAATAATTACTGCATGACCCTAAATAATAATTTCAAAAATACTTCAGCCTTGAAACAGGTACTTCAAAATTCTTCTCTTTATACAGGGTGAGATTTAAATAAGTGCTAATATTTTTAGGGGTAGTATATTTTGACTGCACAAACACTGCTTTTTTGGAATTTTTTATTTTTTAGTTAAAAAAAACTTAATATCTTCATAATATGGAAACATAATGTGTAATAGATTAAATTTACAAAAAAGAAAACCCCAAAAAGATCCAGTGGTTCTCAAAATTTAAGTAAAAATATATTTTTAATTTTCAAAGCAAAATATCTCGGTTATTTTGAAAAATGGTAAAGAGAAAGTATGTTTCTTTTATCGAGATCTACCAGCCCAAAAAATATTTGCACTTGTTTAAAGCTCGCCCTGTATAACAAGTTGACGATTGTTAAATTTACAGTTTTTAAGATAATCTTTCAATAAGTTCGGCAGTTTTCGAGATATAATCATAATATCTATAATAACACTGAACACTGATTATGTAAAACTTGTATTAAGACTATTTAATACTAATTTACAATTCACGTCAAATATAATCTAAAGTCGGCTCCAGAATATGCGGTTCCAGTGTTGTTGGTTATGTTGCCCTAAATGTTTTAATTTGAAATGTTTGCCAAAGTCTTCCTTCAGACAATGTGTCCACCGTTGGAGCCAACGTTTGGTTCAAACCTTTGTTATAAATATTGTAAAATTTATCATGTATAAAGATAGATTGTCTTGTACACTTTTGATGAAACAAATCAAATCAAAAAGCCACCGTAGATAGTGGTGGTTGGTATTTCTTAATTGGAGGGGAAATTTTTATTTGATTTATTGCTTAGATACTATCTGGATACTACTGGATACTTTATCATATACTCAATAACTATTTTTATTTGTCACTATAACTACTATTATCTTTTTACATTCAGCGTACAAAGCCTGTTGTTAGTAGAAATGCTTGGTATTCGATAGAAAACAAAATATTTTTAGTTAAAAAAAAATATGATCCAATTATTGAAAATCCATTTGAAGAAGGACAAAAATAAGAATATATTCCAATACCAACGCATTATCCATATATTTAATTACATTCTATTCAAATTTTATTTATGAGTTGATGATAAACATATTCATCTTTAGCCCTTTTTCAACATAACTATTAATTCTCTTTTCATTATTTTAAGATTGAGTTGTTAGAGGAGTTGAGCTTCTAACAACTGAATTTAACCTAAGCATCCTCAATAATGTTTCTATTTTTTATAGATATCGCTCTTAATTTCTCATAAATAGTTAGTAAATTAGCCTCAGTTGCAACAAATTATCGTCAAAATTGTTCTGAGTGGTTCTTATTGTAAGCAGTAAACTTTGGCATCGCAAATACTTATACAAAAACAAACAAAACAAAACATTGCGCAACAGAACACGACACTGATGTTCCCATTGCACATTGGCTGTCAAACATTTCTAAAACCCATCAGTATGGCTGTGAAATGCAATGAATACTGCATTATATGTATTGGTAAATTTATATGCAGGAATCTAGAAACTAATCTGAATGCAATGATTCTCCTTTATTTTAAATGAAGAAATATTGTTTAGTATATTTTGTATAAGTAAGTTTGTACTTTTTCCAGACATATACTTGGTCAAACACAAGCATTATACTCTCTTCATTCTTTTGGAGCTACGTATCGTTGCAACTTGTAGCTGGATATTTGGGAAGAACCTATGGTCCAAAATATTTCCTACTATCAGCATACCTTTTCAACTGTTGTGCCCATATTTTAATCCCTTTAGCAGCCGAACATTTAGGTTCAACAGGGGTGATTGTATGTAGAATATTTCAAGGCTTCGGGCAAAGCTTCCTTTACCCTTCTACTCACGTAATGTTAGGACAGTGGGCGCCATTTGAAGAAAGAAGTACTTTAGGAAATATAGCATTTTCTGGTGAGTTTACCATAAATTTTAAGTAAAATAAGGTGTAAAATAAAATATGTTTCGAAATAAAATAATAGGTGTTGGTATGGGGTCGATATTTGGATCCACTGCAACAGGTTACATAGCAGAGAGTTGGTTAGGATGGCCCTACGTCTTTTATATAATGGGATCCTTAGGCCTGGTATGGTCTATTTTCTGGATTTTGTTCGGCTATGACAGTCCAGCGAAGGATCCTAGAATAACTGAAGAGGAAAGAAAGTATATTCAGTCATCTTTAAAGCAAGAAGATGAATTGGTACGAACTATAGTTTCTGTCTTGTATTTTTATTTGTTTTTGTTACATTTTTTAGCATTTACCAGTTCCGTGGAAGAAAATATTTACTTGTGTTCAAGTCTACGCCTTACTGATATGGCATGCCAGTTCTATATGGTGTTACGGATTGATGATGACCGAAATTCCAACTTATTTGTCCAAAGCGATGAACTACAATATCAAATCTGTAAGTATAGCAATTTTAATTGTTTTTAAGTTGTTATAATAATGATTTGCATAAATACAATAACTGATCTGCTTTATCATACATTCACTTATTGTCTCAGATAATTAGTCAAGAGATTACTAATTTTTTGATAATTATCATAATAAAAATAATATTTCATAATTTTTAATCAATTTAAGAACTAAAAAATACCCTTTTATAATTTTAGAGTGGATTAGTTACTTCAATACCCACTATCTTCAGTTTAATCGGAGGTATAATTATAGGATACACATCTGACTGGCTTATTAACAACAACTACGTCAAAATTTTGACAGCTCGAAGAATATTTTCAGTGATTTGTAATATTAACATAACATTTAAGGTTATAGAGTGTTATATCAACTTTTTCCAGCAATCTTTGGTCACTCTGCCTGTCTAATATGTCTGTCCTTTTTGGATTCATCCCAAGCTCACTGGTCTGTCTTTATACTAAGTTTAAACGGTGTATTTACGTCAGCATCTATGGCAGGACCCTCGGTTGCGCATTTGGATCTGTCCCCGAGGTTCTCAGGAATAATATTTGGATTTTTGAATGGAATTGGTCAGTGTTTTTCCATCCTGAGTCCACTAGTTGCACAGTGGGTTATTACTGACCCGGTAAAATTATTTTTTTAGTTATCTTATATATTTTTGACTAATTGAGATTCATTTTAGACCGATGTTTCTATGTGGAGGATACTATTCCTGTTTTCAGCTGGATTTCTTGTTGTTGGGGGTAGTATATATTTAGTTTTCATGACAGCAACTAGGCAGGAGTGGGATGGGCCCGAAATACCACAACAGCCAAAGAACAAAAAGATTTCCGTTGTCAGTTTAACGGGAATTTAGTGACATAATTAAAGACTTTAGTAGTATTATAAGAAAATAATGTCTGTGATATATTTTTTAATAAAATTAAAAATACAAATTTATCAAGTTTGTAATTTGTTTTCCTCCATATTTAGTACCACATTTCAATCACACTACTTGGAAAATTTGACACGATGAGAATTAGGCCAGTCAATCTGGAAGTTGAGGTAGAATAAATTATTAGTAACCAACCGATCTCAACGGGAATGTGTAGATAATGATCTCCTATACAAAAACCCCTCAAAAGTCCCATTTACTCCCAGTGGGGGAAGTTTGAAAAAAACCGCCGCCATCTTAGATTTTTTCGTCTTTTTCAAATATCTCCGTTTGCATAACTTTTTTCGAAAAAACTAAAGATATATTTTTTGTACAGAATTAAATTTAGAATATTTGCCTTCAATCATTTTTTTTTTTCGAAAGTAAATAGTAATAGAGATTTTTTACTATACGTTTTATAAATTTTCCAGTTTTTTTAAACCAATCAGCTATAATTTTTGCGTAACAGTATAGTGTTAATATAGATAAACCAAGTATAAACTTAAGCATTAAAACAATTTAAAATAACGTTTAAATATTATATATTATATAAAATTATTGATAAAGAAATTATTATTAAATTAAAGTTATTAAATAAAATTTGCTATGACGCACAGTGGGCAAAAATCCAGAAGTATGTAGCAAAAATTCTTTTTTCGTACGACTTTATTCAAATTTGGTAAAAACATTCTACGCCAGTAAGCCGTGAACCCTGTAGTTTTAGCTGACTTGAGAATGGTTGGGGGTGGTGGAGGGGATTCATAAAATGGAAAAATCATCTTTTGACTAATACAGCTATCAAAATGCGGTAAGAATATTTTACATTTCACTAAATTTTATGATTTTTGGCAGAGCCAAGATAAAACAGACAAATATTGACTAATATTGAGCAATTATTACTCCTCCGCCATATACAGGGTTTGTTTTATATATTGACATCCTCTGTATCTTTTTTATTCGACGTTTTCGAAAAAAGTGTCTTGAATAAAAGTTTAATGGTCTCGAATACATTTTTCAAAACAGTCTTCTTTGCATATACAGGATGCCTTAGAAATCCTGTGTGTGGCCCAACTTTCTTATTTCAAATCAGTACCCAATTTTTTATTTGATTTTTATTTTCTCCTAAAAATCCTAACTACTTTTTTGTAGCATAGCCTATACCTAATTTGAAATAAGATAGTTTTTTGTATATGCCAAATAGACTTTTTTGGCAAATTTATTCAAAACCACTTTCATTTGAGACAGTTTTCGGAAACGTCAAATAAAAAAGATAAAGGGGGTGTCAATGTATAAAAGAAAACCCTAGTATACTAATCCAATCGAACTTTTATTCAAGATTGTTTGTCATTTGAATAAGTTGGGTCTCTAATAATACCAGACAATATGTGAACAATATTTTATTATTATATTTTAAATAAGTAACAATATTCTGAGAATAAAACAATGACGGTTTAGAAAATAACAGAACTTATACCTATTAAAAATATCTAAATTTTATTTTACCACCTAGTATTTACTGATATTTTGTTTTATAACAGCTGGAAGCAATGGTCACGAAGTGCACATTTTTAAATCTGAAAGAAAAATCCTCGGAAAAATCCATTTCATTTAATTTAAAAAATTAGGTACTGTCAAAATTTGTCAATTTGTCAAAAAATGTCATTTGACATTTATGACATACCTCTTCGGAAATCTTGAGAAAAGTTAAGTAACTTTATATTTCAAGTTCTTCTCTAGCTCTACCTACTATAACAATTAATTTATGAGAAGTATCCACATAAAAGATGTTACTATACACATACGCATGGAGGCTTACGCTTCCAATAAATGTAATGTTGCGATTTTTTGCGATTTTTTGCGATTTTTTGACTTAACTTTTCTAAGATAGAATATATACCACTATCAAAAAAACCTTAAATGATTATGTTCTACTTTGACCTTTACCTAGTTTTTATCCAAAAAAATAAAAATAAAAGATACTTTTTTACTTACCTTCACATGAAATTTACCGCAACCGGGAATCTACGTAAAACACGTTATGACAATTTTACAATAATTATTGACAGTAAGCTAAGGTCGTCCGATTCAATTGTTATAATACTGTGTCACTTAAATGCAACGCCTACTATTTAAAAAACTGTAGAAAAAGGGCAGTTATTAGACACAAATTAACTGAAAATGTAGGTTTTGCGCAAAGTTCGTTTTACAGCCCCTCGAAAGAGACTCCGAATATGTTTTTTTGCTAGTTTTATGTTATTTCCTCTTAACTAATATGTTTCCAATCTAATGTTATTGCCATAAATGCTAACTGTGGATGTTATTTTTTGCAACTTAGTTTGGACATATTGCCTACTGTGTGACGTCATCCTCAGCGTCATTTTCGTCCTCAACTAAAATACAAAAGTTTGTGCAACTGATTCCGTAGCACTAACCACATTTTGAAGAACATTTAAGACCCAGTTATCTACAAGAGCAATTTTTAGAGCACTGACTCTCTGCAATTGCAAAAAATTAATTTTAGTAGGTCAGGAGGCGCCACATCTTCTGTAACGAATAGGTGTCAGATTGCCTAATTTAATCCTCACTGAAACAAGTCAAAAATGTGCCGGTACTGAAAAAAGATGACGATCTTTGTCAATACCTCGACGTATTTTTAGAAAATAATGCTAACAAAGATGACTTGTTTCAGTCAGGATTAAATTATCTTTTAAAGCTGTATCACTGCCCAAAGTATTAAACATATTAACCATTTGAGATATACTCTATACAATAGGATTACATCAAGACAAGCCCTTAAGACTACCTTTAATTTATCTAATTTGCCTCCAACTGAGAACTCTGCAAAACTCCATTTACTCAGGACATCTGACACCTATTCAACCAACAGAAGATGTGGGTCTGAAATGTTCTTCAAAGTGTGGTTAGTACTACGGAATCAGTTGCCGCACAAACTTTTGTATTTTAGATGAGAACGAAAATGATACTCAAGATGACATCATAGCAGATTTTATTTAATAACTTTATATATAAATTCAGGTCAGAAAGTCCTACGACGTTGTCCGATGCCTAACTTCCACCCTGTGCGATTTTCCCATGGATCTTCGGTCAGATTTTTCTCGCTCATCGACCTTCTTATTCGTTCCATCCAGGTTTTCTTGAGACGTCCTCTCTTTCGTTTACCAGGTGGTATCCAATGAATGGCTTGTTTTGGAATTCTTTCACTGTGCATTCTCTGAACATGGCCGTACCATATTAATTGTTTTTGTTCTATATCATTTACTATTGTTCCCTCTATTCCCATCTGTTGTCTAATGTCTTCATTTTTAAACTTATCCCTCCGTGAAATTCTCATTGCTCTTCTAATCGCGTCCATTTCTGTTGTCTCTAATTTCTTTTTATTCCTTTCAGTGAGTCGCCATATTTCACATCCATAGAGTAATATGCTTTTAACTAGTGTCTCGTATATATTATATTTCCTGTTTTTTGTAATTTCAGTGCTCCATAGAATGCCATTTATGCATATGATAACTCTTCGTGCCTGTATTACTCTGTTGTTTATTTCTCTATCGTCCGTTCCATCTCCTGTAAATATCGATCCCAGGTACCTGTAATCTTCACATGCCCTAATTTCCATATTATTGTCCAAAATAAGATTTTCTGTATTGGCTCCAATTCGAAGGTATTTTGTTTTTTCTGTATTTACTGTGAGACCCCATTTAACATATTCTTCAATTATTTTCCGCACCATATATTCCATGTCATCTTTGTCGTTTTCAATTATGGCCTGGTCGTCTGCAAATTGCAAGGTGTATAGGCATATGTCATTTAGTTCTATACCCATTCCGTTACATTTTCTTTTCCATAGATGTGAGGCCTTGCCAATATAAATTTTAAATAGTATTGGGGATATACAGCAACCCTGTCGGAGCCCTTTAGTGATAGAAATTTCCTCTGAGAGACCGTTGACCGTTTTTATTTGTGATTTTCCTCCATGGTAAAGATTTTGTACAGCTTTTATCAGAGCTACGTTAATTCTTGATTCGTGCAATACTTCCCATAATTTTATTATTGGCACTGTATCATATGCTTTTTGTAGATCGATGAATGTTATATGAACTTCCTGGTTCATTGCAGATTTCTTCTCGATGATCTGTTTCAACGCAAAGATATTATCTCTACATGATCTGTTTTTTTTATTTAATAACTTTAATTTAATAATAATTTTTTTAACAATAATTTTATTTAATAAATAATATTTAAACTAAATAAAAAAAAATAAATTATTTTTAATTGTTTTAATGCTTAAATTTATATATACTTGGTTTATCTATATTAACACTATACTGTTAAGGCAAAAATGATAGTTGATTGATTTAAAAAAAACTGTAAAATTTATAAAACATAGTAAAAAATTGCTCTATATCTAATTATTTATTTATTTAAAAAAAATGATTAAAGGTAAAATATTCTACATTTAATTCTCTACAAAAAAGATATATTTAGTTTTTTTCTGAAATGATTTTGTCTTTGTCACACACAACTTCAAAACTAAAGACAATAAAAAAAAGAAAAAAAAACTTTTTTTTTCTTTTTTTTATTAAGTCTATAAATTGTATCTAAATTGTGTTGGTAAAATGTTAATTGCAGTTACTTATTACATCCCCTTGTATTGACACCACGCTACGCCGCTGATTATAAGCAATTATAAGATCTATTTTATTATTCTACTTTGTTGGGGTGAGATGCTGTCATTTTTAAGTCAAGAATGTTTAGAATAAAAATGCTGTAGCCTGAGGACATTTTATTTGCAGAATATTGCTTTACAAGCTTTTCATTTTCTTGAAATTAAAACGAGTGTTTAGGTTTTAGACCAGATATGAATACTTTAGCAAGATCATTTTGTTGTCAGATTCAACAAGAAAAAAAATGATAGTTTCGAAATTACTGTGTATTTTGAAAAATTATTTTTTTATTTTCAAAGAAAAATTAAAGGAATTTGATAGGAGATACACTCTAATTAATTTTTAAACGGAATACGTCATTAGCATTATCTTTTTCTAGAGTACCTACTTTAAATCATTAAAAATTTGATCATAAAGTGCACATTATTCGCATGATACCATATCGTATTTTTCATCATTTAAATATCAATGCGTTAAAGAATTTCGAAAAAAAAATAATCACAGCTACTCATTCCGAACACTTAAATGTTAAGTGTTTTGTAGTATTGCCGTCACAGCGTCATAGTACGTCAAACTTATATAATACCAGGGTTTGTTGAAAACAAAACATTTTTATGAATGTATAATTTCGCAGATTCAAGCTTCATTCAAGGATATCGACTGGGAGATAAAGAAATTAAAATAATATGCTATACTGACGATGCAGAAAAAACAAAATCCTGTACAATATCTAGAGAGCCTAGAAGATTCAAACTCGCAATCTATGATCAGAGTGTAGAACAAGTGATGTCATTTAAATTAAATATCTAGGGGCAAATATAACAAGCACTAGGAATCTTAAATATGAAGTAAAAACCCAAACTACAAGGGCATCATTAATATCCGGATATTTAAAGGATGCAATTTGGCGAAATAAATATAATATGAGCGACAGAAGCAAAGTTAGAATTTATATAAGGCTTGCGTGAGACCGGTTATGACAAATGCGATAGAGACTAGAGCAGAGAATAGAACAACAAAAAACAGGGGTCCTAATAAAAACAGAAATGCGAACACAGACGAATTATTAATCAGACCAGTATTAATATTAATATACCTTATATGACCGGAAAAGAAGTGAGGATATAAGAGAAACATGTGAAGTACAGGCTGTAGTAAGATGGACAAGAACCAGGAGAAGAGAGTGGAGAGACCATGTGGTTAGGTTAGGTCTTCATCATCCCAACTGTTCTTAAGGAACCATTGAAGACAACACAGGACTTGGTTCTAACGTACGAAGAAGAAGAAGAAGAAGAAGCTTCATTCAGAACCTCGCAATTAGTAGAATAAATTAGTGGTTTTAATTAGCGTAGAAGTTTGTTCCTCTAATTTGAATGTAAGCATTCAGAACGTCAAAAAAATCAGTGGTAGAAATTTTCAATTAGTGGAAACAGTTAACAAACTTTGACTTTTCCACTAATTGTATTTCAAAATTTGTGAGGAATGTAATTTTAGCCTTGTTAAGGGCCGTTGTTAGAAACCAAAAGTTTATTGTTTTATAAGCTAAAGATTAGGCTTTTTCTATGGATACAACTGATTACTGCAAGCTGTTGCTAGAATATTATATTAATTTTAATTGTGTTGTTTAGACATTGTGAATGATCGTAAACTAAAAAGTATAAAGATTACAGTTGAGGGTTGGAACCTTTGGTGTTACACAGCAAAATAAAAACACTAAATCACCACAATATACCAAAACACTTTTACTTTTACACGGGACGCGCGTTTCGCTAACCATGTTAGCATCATCATTGATAATAAACTAAAATACAATCTACAAGTTGAGCGTTCATATACTCGCTCAGTGGGCACCGAGTTGGCGTGGCAAAATCTAGCCAACCGAGTCAGAGCCCACTGAGCGTAACAGTTAGATTTCCACCACTAGAGTAGTAGGAACAAAGAACTTTTGAAGGAATTGGACCGTTGACTCTGTTCATACTATCTTTACATTTATTAATTCTGATGCTTTCATATGCATCTAATTGCCTGTAATTTGAGACTTGTTTAATTAATTTTAAATTATTAAGATCTATACAATGTTCTTTATCAACAATATGTTCGGCAACGCAAGATTTATCCGGTCTACCATATCTTATCTGAGCTAAATGTTCTTTAAATCTAGTTAATATTGATCTTCTAGTTTGCCCAACATATTTCTGATTACAATCTTTACAAGAAATTTCATAAATACCCGACCTTTTCAGTGGAGGTGTTTTATCTTTTGGATTACCTAATAATTGTTGTAATTTATTATTAGCACTATACACAAGTTTATAATTGACATTCTTAAAAATTCCTTTTAGACCACGGGATCTCTATCAAACGGTATCGAAAAATATTTAGACGTATCTTTCTCCACTTGCAAAGTCGAATTTTCAGAAATCATTAACCTATACCTACGTTTTCTAATTAATTTATCAACTAGTGAAGGAGAATATCCATTACACTCAGCTACATTCCTAATGTAATCTCTTTCTATTTTATATCTTTCGACTAAGTAATCTATGAACTAAGAAATTTAAACTAGCCATTTTATTTTCAACACTATGATGTGATTCATTAGGAATATATCTGCGTGTGGTCGTATTTCCTATAGATATCAAATTCCAGGCAATTATTAGTATTTCTAATAACTAATACATCTAGAAATGGTAATCTGTCGTTCTTCTCAATTTCATGCGTAAATTTAAAGGAAGGAAAACGATTAATTAACTTAGAAATCAAATTATCTATGGTGTCTGAATGTGTGTCAAAAACAGCAAAAATATCATCCACATACCTAAACCATACTCTTGGAAAATACTCAAACTGATTCTTAGCCTCCACTTCAAACCTGCTCATGAATAAATTAGCCAAAAATGGAGACAATGGATTACCCATTGCTGTACCTTCCCGCTGTTCAAAAAAGTTAAAAAAAAAGTATAAAGTGTAATTGAGACCACTAATTTATTCCACTAATTGCGAGGTTCTGAATAAAGCTTTACTTACTATCCAACTAGTTTTAAACAACCTAATAGCAAAATTCTTGAAATTAAACTATAATAATAAAATTATTAAATTTTAAATAGCTTTACTTAAAAAACCGCAAGGTTTTTTTATACAAAAAAGTTATTGAGTTGAGCCACTTTTGAGACCGCACCCGGTATATACTTTTTAAACTACCTCGTATCATTAAGAATGTAAAGATGACTTTTGTCAGTAGCAATGACATGGCATGTGACATGAATCTAAAGTTTTGCTATCAATCTGAAGATAGATTACTACTGTTTTGTTAATTTTTTAAATTACTAGCATTCCTCTTGGCACATGTTTAGGTTATTGTAATAATGTATTTATATTTTTTTATATTCAAAACAAATATTATATAATTATTCACTTAAAATTCTTGATAACCCGAAGATTTGTATAGGTCACTTCATAATCGAATAATTTTTTGTATTTGCCGTAGTTTATAACAGTAAAATTTTATATTTTTATTAAGTAGTTTAGTAGTAGTTTAAGTAGTTAGTTAAGTAGTTTAGTAGTTTATAACAGTAAAATTTTACATTGTTACAATACAGTACTCGTGTGTGATACAAACCTATAATTTTTTAATAATATGAATATTATTACACTCTAAATTTAATCACACTTGATTTTGAACATGCATCTTAAAATTTTTGTATAAAATAATAAAAATATATAATTGTGACTAGAACTTATTAAGTGTAATAGCTAACTGATACAATAGAAATTTTCCTAAACAACTCTAAACAAAAAACTTACAATCTCCTTCAAAAAGGCATGATATTATATTCAAAATATTATCTTTAAAATATATATCAGATGTTTACGTACTTTTTAATAATACAAGTACTATCGAGTTTTGTATTTTTCATTCAGTAACGAATCTCAGTTATTCACTGATGGTTAGCTACTCCAAATATGCTGTAAGAAACGTAAAAGTCAAGAATAATTGCTGGTTCTGTTGATACAACAATCTTCAAGATGGATCTAAACAACATAAGGGAGCAAAAGAATGACACTCAAAATATTGATAAAGGTATGTTTTTATGTTTATACAAGTTTTCTATTTCATTTTTTATACGTATAGTAACTCTTAATACAGTCAAAAAGGTACGAAATCATATAACATCTTTTAAACGTAATCAAAACGTCAATCACTTAAGAAATGAATTGGTTTAAACAAATTGGCTGTAAAAGTTTAAACATTAAACATTAACAATTAAAAATTAAAAAAAGTTTGTACATTAAACCATCTTTCAGCCTTAATTAATATGTCATTTGAAGATGGTGCTTTTCCAAATTGCCTTAAGTCGGCGATAATTATTCCTTTGCATAAAGGAGGTGATAAAGAGCAAGCTTCCAACTATCGTCCAATTGCACTCCTTCCCACGTTATCGAAGATCATGGAGAGACTGGTTAAAAAGAGGCTTGTATCATTTCTTCTAAAATACAAAATACTCACCCCCTTTCAGTTTGGGTTCTTGAGTAACAAATGTACAAATGACGCTATGTTTTCGCTGTTTAATAATGTATACTCCAGTCTGAACAACCGTCTCGTTACAGCAACAATTTTCTGTGATTTCTTTCTTTCGATTGTGTTAATCATAACATCCTACTAACAAATTGCAGTACTATGGTATCAGGGGAACGCCTCTTGAATGGTTTAAGTCCTACCTTAACAACAGAAACCAGCGTGTGAGGGTTGATAAGACTGTGTCTTCTTGCAAGCCAATAGAATGCGGAGTACCTCAGGGCTCAGTGCTAGGTCCTATTTTGTTTCTGTTGTTTATCAACGATATTGCTAGTCTGGACATCAGTGGTAAAATCTGTCTCTTCGCGGATGATACTTGTTTCACATGGAGCAGCCCGGACACCACGGCACTTCATAGAACCATTTCCAGTGACTTAATCAACATAAAAACATGGTGCGATTCTAATTATCTGTGTCTCAACGTCTCTAAAACTAAAGTCTTATCATATAAAAGTACGTTGCTACCTTTTCAACTTGATAATACCACCATTGACGTCGTTGATTCTGTGAAATTTTTAGGCCTTGTTGTGGACAACTATTTAAAATGGGATTTGCAATCGATGCTTTAGCTAAAAAATTAAGTTCTGCCTGTTTCGCACTTAGATCAGTTGCTAATGTGCTTAATTTGTCAACATCTAGGACAGTCTATTATGCCCTTTATGAGTCGCATCTCCGATACGCACTTCCATTCTGGGGTGCGTGTTGTGCGACTCAATTTGAGCGTATCTTCAAATTACAAAAGAGAGCTGTGCGATATTCACTGAGGCTAACCAGTTGTGCTCACTGCCGGGACTTGTTTAGAAGATATAAAATATTAACTCTTCCTTCCCTATTCATACTCGAATCCGTCTGCCTAGTTCGCAAGCACGTATCGAGTATTTCTCTAGAGCCAGTTCATGGCTATCCAATTAGGAACGCAGAGCATAACATGTATCTGCCAACCCCTCACTCTGAGTTAGTAAAGAGTTCCCAATTGTACAATGCAAAAAAAAATGCACTATCATCTGCCATCTGAAATTAATTCCATTTCATCCTTTCCTGCATTTCGCAGAGCCTTGAGATCATACTTACTGGAGAAAGCCTTTTACGCGGTTAACGATTTTTTTATTAATATCTAGGGTTCTAAATTTAACACACATTCACTAAATTTAAGAAATGATTTTGTTTTCTATCCATTTAAATTTAGTATTGACATTATATACAGTTGTTTATTTACATGTATGTTTATATTTTATTTATATTTAATTAAATAAATTTTTGACAATGTACAATTTCTATAATTGTATAAAGTATTGTTTTAGTTTTGTATGTTTGCTGTTAGTTTTATATGTTTTTCTATTGTTAAGTGAAGTTTTGTATGTTTTTTATATTCTTTTTTTTTAAGCTTTGTCAACAAAATTGTAAAATTTTTTTATGACAATAAAGCAATTTCTTTCTTTCTTAAAAGTTTGTGGTTTATTTATAGGAATAATGGAGCTTGGTGACACAAAATATCGAGAAAATGGCACTGAGATTGTTAATAAAGGTATGTTTGTTACTTATGTATGTATTAGGTAAGTTGAGGCGTTTGTTGTAATAAGACAATATCTTGAATGACGAATAATCACTGAAGCATTAGTTAATGTTAAAATATATTAATTAACTAATGCTAGAACATTCTCATTTTTTTTTCATATATTTGTAGTTGATATAATATTATACCTATTTGTATTTATTTTATAAACATTATCATTTATCTCATTATTTTAGGTAATTAATCCATATCAAATTGATATAATTATCTTATTTATATTTGAAATAATATTTAAAATTCATTATAAAAATTCCTTTTATGGTTTTACTTTAATTCAATATCAATATTTTTTTATATCTAACACATATTTAAATAACCCTCATATCCTTCAAAAAACAAAAACTTTAATGTATTGGTTAAGGAAAAAAATATAATTTTGTAATAAGTTGTAAATCATATTGAACCAATTTTTAGTACAAAACAACTGAGAAATGTGCTTTAAAGAGAGTTTTTTTTTTTAAATAAAACATTGAAAAACAAAAATTACTTTTAAATCGTATATAATTTTACATTAATATTTTGTTATGGTCTGTTTAACACAAGGATCCGTGAAAGTGACAGTTGTCTCTGTAATTTTACTTAATTTAGTCATTTCATTTGTCTCTGTCTTGTTGGAAAGACTATCATCATCATCAGCATCATTTTCAGCTTATTCAACCATTTCCAATTATGATGTAGCTTCCTTCACACATTTAGATACCCCCTAGTAGTTGAGCCCATTGTTGTTTATTGTTGGCAATACGGGCCCAAGTTATTCCTGCTAATTTTCTAATATCCCTAATGTCCTATCTCAGGTTCGGTCTTCTTCTAGGTCTCTTAATTCCTCGTGGATACAATGGTGTAATTTTATTGGTCCATCTATTTTTCGTTTTTTGTGCCAAGTGTCCTGTCTATTGCCATTTGAGGGATTTGACTCTGTGGATGACATGTATTACTGTATTACCTAAGTCTTTTGTCGTATCCACTCTATTCTTTTACAGTCTCTCTTGGTTATTCCCAGCATATTTCGTTCCATTGAGTGTTGTGCGACCTACAGTTTTCTTATGATGTTCCTTAAGTGCCCAGGTTTCGGATGCATAGATCATGACTGGTAGTACACATTGATCAAACGTTTTCTTCTATAGATAGTGTGGCATTCTAGATTTAGATATGATTGAGTTTCTTCCATAAGTACTCCATGCTAACTTAACTCTTCTGTTGAAAGGCTAGGAAAGACTATACTACAGTACAAATTAAAATAAATATTAACTATATTGTTTTTAATAGTACAAAACATATTTTAGGTCCAAAATTTGGAGCTAGACATGTCCAAACTTTCCTCATGTTCTTGCTCTTAGCTGTTGGCTACGCCATGAGAGTTAACTTGTCCGTTGGAATAGTTGCCATGACAGACAATACCAGTACACCTAATCCAGATATACCTGTAAGAAACAAGTCACAAGTTTATCTATAATTTTAATATAAAATACTTCTTCCAGACGTACCACTGGACAAACAAAAGCTTTATTTTGTCCACATTCTTTATGGGATACGTGACTCTACAAATTTTTGCCGGTGAATTGGGCAAGAAATATGGCCCTAAATGGTTTTTGGTAGGTGCCATGGTGATAAATTCACGTAAGATCACTGAATTATTGCTTTGAAACCATAAAATATCATAAATTAATATTGATATTACAGTTGGATGTATGCTGACACCTATAATGGCAGAACTATACGACTACTATGGTGTTATTGGATGCAGAGTAGTCCAAGGGATATTCCAAGGGTTTTTCTTTCCATCAGTTCATAATATATTAGGGAAATGGGCTCCAGAAGATGAAAGATCTACATTAGGAAACATTATATTTACAGGTAAAAATTATATCGTTTTTTTATTTTATATACTTCAATAATTGAAAGAATTATTCAAGTTTAACAAAAGGTTGAAGGCCATGATTGATAATTTTTTTTAATATTTGCCTAACCTTAAAAAAAATTCTATGTATTGTTATTGGTTATTGATTATAAAGACGTTATCAAGTGTACTCATTGTTTACGGTAAATGTACAGATTCATTCAATAGTACTTGAGAAAAGAATAAGTGTTTACTGATATAACCTACTCGTTTTTGTTTACATCGAATAAATATTGCAATATTGACACGTTTGGCAGGTTAAATAGTTCTTCTTTTCATAATGTCCTTGCTGCCAACTCTTTCTTAACAGAAATTCAATGACATCTTTTTATCTATATTTTTATTGCGAAATCTTATCTTCCCCTTTAGCAAGAAGTGGCTACCAATGTTCTTATGTAAACAGGGTTTTTCACCCAATATAATATAATAGATACATATTTTAATAATAATTTAAGTTAAGGTTATTCACAGATAATATACTTTCTTTTTAAAATACTTTCTATTTACTGGCATTTCTAGCTTAACAGGAGGTAGCTGCAAAATAGCTTATTTAAATAGAATCGCTCTATATTTTTTGATTATAGAGGTGCACATAAAACTCTAGATACTCTAGACTTGGGGCATTCTCCGTCGGTGATGCTACCATAGGAAAGAATATCGTAAATAACTGATATACAGGGTCGCTTTTATGTTTTATGTATGGAAACGGTCGATTATTTGGTAAAATATAGGAGGTACCGCAAAAAGTTAAATATAGAAGTTATAGAGTTTATAATAGTTTATAAATATCTATCATTAGCGGGTAATAAATTTAAGTATACAGGGTATACAGGTCAAAGATGGTTCGACAAAACAAAAATACTAAATGGAATCCCCCTAACAGTGACTCCAACTATGCAGATTCCGTTACAGCTTTCCTGGAAGAACGGACCTTAAACAGCCAACACGATATTGGAAATATGTAGCAATATTGTTGAAGCCATTAAAGAAGCGGAAGTACAACACTGCCAACAAATTAATAACAAACATCAAAAACTCACCTAAAATACAAAGAATATGATATCTTTGCGAAAAGAAATGTTAAAACAAAATAACAGAAACTCTGAAGACCTGAGACAATTGAACAAAACAATATCTAAAGAAATCAGAAAGGACCTTTTCTAAAGAAATCAGAAAGGAAAATTTAATACAGATAATATAAGGCGAAATATAGAAGAGAATAAAAGTATGAAGGTGTTGCGGGGAAAACTATCAAATGGAAAGAGAGAGATCTTTAAACTAAAAGACAACCAAGGGGTCGTAACAACAAATAGAGAAAGGCTGTTGAAAATAACAGAAAACTTTTACACTGAACTATACACAAGTAATCACCAACAAACATACAACAGTCAACAACGTCTGTGCAAAAAGATAGTTAACCAGGGATCAGAGGATATACCGGAAATAACTACAGAAGATATCAGAAAGTCTTTAAAAGAAATGAAAAATAAGAAAGCCCCGGGCGAGGACGGCATAGTGATTGAGGCTGTAAAACTCGGAGGAAGAACACTATTAAAATGGATTAAAGACTTATTTAATCTATGCCTTGAAAAAGGAATAATCCCGTCTCAATAGAACAACGCCATAACGATACTTCTCCATAAAAAGGGCGATATCACCGAGCTTGAAAATTATAGACCGATAAGCCTTCTTTGTCACTTGTATAAGCTGTTTACCAAAATCATTGCCAAACGTCTCTAACGTAAACTAGATTTCTATCAACCAAGAGAACAGGCAGGCTTTAGGAAAGGTTATGGAACAAACGATCATCTTCAAGTAATTAAAGTCCTGATAGAAAAATCTGTGGAATACACAGGCACCTAGCATTGGTGTTCGTTGATTTCCAGAAAGCATTTGACACAGTAGAATTAACATCAATAATAGCAGCATTGGAGCAGGGAAGAGTAGATTATAGGTATACAAGGCTTATAGAATACATATATAGTAATGCCACTACAACTGTAAAACTTCACGAAACAACAGATAAAATTGAGGTAGGCAGAGGAGTTCGACAAGGAGATACTATTTCGCCTAAACTGTTTACAGCTGTCCTTGAATACGCAATGAAATCACTCTTTTGGGAGAATAGGGGCATAAATATCGATTGTGAAGGGTTGACACATCTCAGATTCGCAGATGACATCCTCCTTGTCTCAGATAACATCGGAGATTCAAAGCAGATGCTCGAAGAATTAGTGCAGGCCTCATTAAAAGTCGGTCTCTGGATAAATGCGAGTAAAACGCAAATAATGACAAACTTAGTGCTGACACAGAACATCAGAATAGGTGACGCCGACATAAAAGAAACACATATATACAAATATCTCGGGCACGAAATACAAATCGGAAAGAACAACCAAACACACGAGCAACGATACAGCGCAGAATAGGTTTGGATTGGGCTGCTTTTGGCAAACTGCGGGAGACCTTTAAAAGTGATATACCCATATGCTTGAAGAGGAAAGTTTATGAACAATGCGTCTTGCCGGTAATTACATATCGAGCGGAAACTCTAACATTAACGAAAAAGTCAGCAGGAAATTTAAGAGTAGCCCAGAGAGCCATGGAGAGAGCCTTGCTTGGAATAACTAAAAGAGACAAAATTCCTAATAACACTATCAGACAAAAAACCAAAATTAAAGACATAGTGGAACGCGTAACTCAAATGAAATGGAGATGGACAGGTCATGTGGCGAGAACATCTAAAGACAGGTGGACTAGAAGATTGTTAGAATGGCGACCTCGAGCAGATAAACGTAGCAGAGGCAGACCACCGACACGCTGGACCGATGATGTTAAGAGGATTGCTGGAAATTGGATGATGACGGCCCAAAATCGAGAGACATGGAGAAATATGGAGGAGGCCTACGTTCAGCAGTGGACAACGATGGTTACATGATGATGATGATGATGATGATGATGATACAGGGTCGGTCATAAAGTCTTGGCACATCAAAGTTTCATTTTTTTAATGGAACCCCCTGTATATTATTGCATATTTTGGTTCTTCCTACAATTCTAAGAAAAAATCGAAATACACACAATGTACCTTATACCAACCTTTTCTTGTTGTTATTGACTTTTGAAAATATCACTTAAACAATTTGATTTAATTAATAATTTCGATATGTTCAGTTTCATTTAACAATGCCATGTTGCCGAAACTGTGATAATAATATTTGACATTAGTTCTGAAGTTAGCATTTATAAATTGTATAAAATGGGAGTATAGCAAGTCTGGAAATTACAAAATTTTTGTTGAACATTTCAATATTCTTCAATTCGTGTACATTGTGTATTACGATTATTGTTTAAAATTGAAGGAAAATTGAATGGAAAAAATATGGAATAATATACGGGGTGTTTCATTTAAAAAAAAAGTTTGATGTGACACAACTTTATGACCGGCCCTGTATACTTAAATTTACTAGTAGCTAATAGGAATTTAAAAACCCATTACAACAGTATCACAGTTTCGACAGAATGGCATCATTAAATCGAACCAAACACATCGAAATTAATTAAATCGTATTGTTTAAGTGATATTTTCAGAAGTTAATAACTCGGAAACGGTTCCTCTTAGTTACATTGTGTTTATTTCGATTTTTGCTTAGAATTGAAGGAAGAATTGAAATGCGTAATAATATACAGGGGGTTCTATTTAAAAAAATGAAACTTTGATGTGCCACGACTTTATGAACGACCCTGTATACTTAAATTTATTACTCGCTAATAGATATTTAAAAATCCTATAACTTTTGTATTTAACTTTTTGCGGTACCTCCTATATTTTACCTAATAATCGACCGTTTCCATACATACAAGGGACTCTGCATACAGGGTGGCGCCTCTCATACGCCGCGGAGGCTCCAAGGAGAACGACAGTTTGTATTGAAATGAAATTTCGTGAGTATATGTAGGTTAATTCAGAGCACTTTTTAAAAATATAAAGAGTTCTACAGGGGGCCCCCGAAAAAAGTTACATATCAAAATTGTGTTTTTTGTAATAGAACACCCTATATACTAATTGATTTTTGGATTCTGGGAGAAAAATAAAGGTGAGTTTTATAAGAGAAGTATATGACTAAAATGTAAAGTTTTTGACATATTTAACATTTTCTAGAAATAAAGAACAATTTTTAAATTACAATAAAAGCTACCTAAATTGTAATTTACCCGGTATAGCCTAATATGTAGTGAAATTAACTATTGTACTTTAAATCAAATTAATACTTGATCCCAAAAGTTATACAGGGTGTGATAAAATTAATATTGAATATTGGTCACCTTTAAAAGCATGTTACTCTCTTATTTTAAATGGAACACCCAGTATATTATTCCGATATTCAATAGAGAATTGATGTCTCTTCAAAATACTATTAAGGTTGCCTACCTCTCAAACAAAGATTTTCCTAGATATTTTCATTTACATGATTTGATCTGAGTAGATCTTTATTATTTGATAAAATCTTGGTGGCTGTGATATGTTTGACGTTACTTCAACATAGCTGCCTAATTAGTCCTGCCTAATTAACTTTAACAACTAGTTATCATTTTGTGTCAATTAAAACAAAAACATTTCTCAGAAATTTGCCGAAAATGCAACCTTATCCTACATCAGAGAGAATTGACATGATTTTATTAGTTGTTGAATGCAGTGTGCATTCACCAATTAATAGAATACTTAAATGTCTGGGTTTTTTATGGGGATATGTTATAGACGGTTTTTACAAAACTCGGCCAACTAGTGTCGATAACATGAGAGAAATTATTTTAGCTGCATTTCAAGGTAGAACTCCACATAAATGCCTTTTAAAATGAAAAGATCCTTTTGAAAAGGCAATCATTTTATGCAGTTAACAGGAAATGAAGCATTTTGAGCATTTGATTTCATCTAGCTAATTTTTGTCGCATAATCTAGGTTTATATCTAGTTCTAATTCTGTAATAATAAAATATGTTTTAAACGTGTATTGTTTTATTACCCTTGAGTATTTTACTCTACAATCTTTAATTTTTGTTAAATTAACAAAAGGTATATCACACAGCCACCTAGATTTTTTCAAATAATAAAGATTTACTGACGCAAAATCATAAAACTAAAAATATCCGGGAAAATCTTTGTCTGAGGGGTAGGCAACCTTAATAATATTTTGAAGATATATAAATTCCCCATTGAACACCGGAAAAATATACTGGGTGTTCCATTTAAAATAAAGGAGTAACTTGCTTTTAGAAGTGACTAATGTTCCATATTAATTTTGTCTCACCCTGTATAACTTTTCGGGTCAAATTTCAATTTGGTTTAACATACAATAGTTACTGTACTTAAATATTAGGCTATACAAGGTCAACTAAAATTTAGGTAGCTGTTATCGAAATTTAAAATTTACTCTTCATTTTGACAAGATGTGAAATATGTCAAAATCCTTAGATTTTAGGCATATGCTTCTTTAATAAAACTCACCTTTATTTTTTTCCTAGAATCCGAAAATCAATTAATATATAGGGTGTTCCATTAGAAAAAACACAACTTTGATGTGTAACTTTTTTTTGGGGACACCCTGTATAATTCTATATATTTTTATAAAATGCTTTCAGTTAACTTACATATGCTGTCAAAATTTCATTTCGATATAAACTACCGTTCTCCTTGGTGCTTCCGCGGCGTATGAGAGGCGCCACCCTGTATAAACACACGGGTTTAAAGTATACCAAAAATTTATTGCATAGTTATTCTAAAAGTGTTAGGAAGTATAATTTGTGAAAATTCTAAAGATAAAAATAAAAAAGTAAATATTTTGATATCTTCAGAAGGTCTAACTTGTATTATAATTTATTATTCCAGCAAAAAAATACTTTTTATACTGACTTGTTTCGTCGAACTGCTTGAATCCATTTTTGTTTTTGATCAAATCGGTGTGAGAAACTATAAAACTTTAAAATGTTGTTTCGGGTGAGTTGAATATCCGGAAATTATTGAATGTTATTGCACCCAACAACGCCCTAATTGTGCTCTCTTTTCCGCGTTAACATTTTTTCGGCAATTTTATTAACATTTGAAATTGTCACAATACAACACGACGCCTAGGTCGGATTCTTTTTCACTTAATTCACGCGATTTAGGAGCCGGTACGACATAGGGACTTTCCCCTTTTTGTTTTTGTTTTCGAAACTAAATTACTAGACGGAATTTTAGGTGTTGCATTTGGTACCATCTTCGCCATGCCAGTGACTGGTGTCATTTCAGCCTCCTGGGCAGGATGGCCGGCGGCATTTTACTTCTTCGGTGGTGTCGGATTGGGTTGGTGCGTGCTGTGGATTATATGGGGACGAAACAGTCCAGCCGATGACAAAACGATAACTCCAGAAGAGAAATATTATATTGAATCGTCGCTTAAAAATACAGGAGATAAAAAGGTAAATTTATATATTCTAACAAGATGTTTCTTAGGATGTATACACATAATTACGCACTTTTTGTTTAAATTCAGACCTTTTTTATATAGTCAAAAATAGCTCAAACGTGTTTACTTTTAAACGTTGATACAGCCTGTCAAAGAACTATTTCTATTGATGACATCCAAAAAATTAAAGAGAAAGGATTAATCTATACTATGCATTAAAAATTGGACACTATTGGAATTACATATATATTTTCTTGGCAGGTGCCGGCAGTCATTGGCAGTCTTACGGTAGTCGCCTATAATAATTACATGGCAGTCAAAGGCAGTCTTCTTCGCAGTCACTGGCATTCGCTTGGCAGTGAAATTATATTTTGGCACTACTTGTACATTTTTACCCAAGTGGGACACCCCGCGACTGGATCTTATCTAGGTTTACTTTCTTGTAATTTGTAAAATTTCCCAAAAATTTTTAAAAAAATTTCAAATTTACAAAAAAAAATTGCAAAAAAACTCTCATAATCGTGTTTCTGGGGTCGAAATATGCTATCTCTAAAGTTATTTAAGACTCACCCTGTATATGTTGTTGGTAGGTAAATGAAACATGACAAACCGATTTTTTGGCAACTTCAATTCTTCATATGTTTCGTTTCCAAATTCACAAAATAATGTTGAAATTAAAAAAATATATACATACATTTTGTTTCTATTAATATTAATATGCTTATATAAAATGAATCAAGACTTAACATCTATAATCTACTATATTTGAAAATATTTCATTTTTAGCCGCCTAAAACTCCATGGAAGGAAATCTTAACGTCAATGCCTGTATGGGCAATAGTTGTGGCAAATTTCGGACAAAATTGGGGATACTCGGCTCTTCTGACCGAAATATCAAATTATTTGAATAAAGTTTGTGGTCAGGATGTTTCAAGTGTAAGTATAATCATAAGAAAAAATTATTAAAAATAGACTCAAATACACACACCGGAAAAATCTAGGGATATCATTTTGTTAAAGTTAAAAATAAACGTTTTGAATAAACAACCACATATTTGTAGGCCGATTCTTTCTACTTCGATTGAAACGAAGTAGTCACACTAGTTATTTCTAAATTTGGGATATTTGCAGAAGTGTTTTTGCATATTTTGTCCAATATATAAAAAGCACCTAGCATCAATTGTTCGAATTTAACCTGTACTGGCTATGTTTTTATTATAACTGGCCAGAATTCATTCAAATAACTCTGTTTAGTATTAAACGACATTATGGAGCGTAGACATCTTAACAGAGACGAAATGCTAAGGGCCATGGATATGCTCGAAGCTTGAATGCGCCAAATCGACGTAGCTAGAGCATTAAATGCAACGCAAAGTGTAATATCGCGATTAAGTGCACGCTACCGTGAAAGTGGTGATGTTGCTGAAAGGCACACAGGGTGACATCGCATTACTACCCCTCAGCAAGATCATTTTTTACAATTAAATGCGCGACGCTGACCGACTCTTACAGCACCAGAGCTTAGTTTAATTCTCCAGGAAACACATAATATAACCGTTAGTCCTGACACTGTTCGCAATAGATTAAGAGAGGTCAACTTAAGAAGCAGACGCCCCTGGAGAGCTCAACCCTTAACGAGAGGAAATCGAGAGGTAGGATATTTGTGGGCTCAAGATCATGTTCAGTGGTCGAATGAACAATGGGCCAATGTTCTCTTCACGGATGAGTCACGCTTTGGAATTCATCAGGATTCGAGAAGGCTTAGGGTATGGAGAGAACCGGGAAATCTTATTCGGTTGGATCATGTTCAGGAAGTGCATCCTTATCAAGGTAGAACAGTTATGGTCTGGGGAGGAGTTCAGTTAGGCCGAGAAACCGATCTCGTTTTTCTTGAAAGGTTTCTAAACCGATCTCGTTTTTCTTGAAAGGTTTCTAACAGGAATCACATATCGTGATTTAATTCTTGAGCCTGTCGTGTTACCATATGCCAATGATTTTGGGAGAAACTTCATTCTCATGCATGACAATGCACGGCCTCATACAGCCAGAGTGGTAAGTGAGTTTATCAATGCTCATCAATTAAACATCTTACTCTGGCCGGCACAATCTCCTGACCTCAACCCTATCGAGCACGTATGGGACGCGGTCCAAAGAAGAATTTTGAGAATGGGTATGTCTCGTGAAACTCGTAGGGATCTGGTTCGGGCCGTGAATGCAGCGTGGCAGGCTGTACCTCAAGAAGAGATCGACAACCTGATCAGGAGTATGGAGAGACGATGTAGGGCTGTAATGAAAAGTAGAGGAGGCTATGCCCTTTATTAAGTAAAATTGGTTTTATCTTTTTTTTTAATTTACAGTTTAGAATAAAAAAAAATGTGTGTATTTTTTTGAGTTCAATAATATAATCAAGGTAAATTTGAAAAATTGGGTAAATTTCGCATTTTTATTTCCAATACGTCCTGTAAACTATTTGTTAATTTTAATTTTATTATATCAGAAATGCAAATAATAAAATTACTGACGATGGCTGGATAAAATTGTAATATCCCTAGACTTTTCCGGTGTGTGTATATACGTGTATACTCAATTATCAATACATGTACTATCAAGTACATAAATTATGTACTTCGAAGGTAGTGACATTCGTTGAGTAAATAACATAAATTGTGACATCTATTGATTATTTCAATTCGAGACATTGCTCGTAGCGATTTTTACCAAGAGAATTTTTTATGTAAAAAACACCCAGACACCAATGATCAGTTTTTTGTTTAAAATAGATCAGAAATTATTCAAAAAACACCAAAATAAAAATAAAATTTCTACACCGTGAATGTCCTAAATGGAAGATTTTACGATATAAATTTAAATGAACTTTTTTAACTTATTCTAATCTAGGAAATTTTGGCAACATATTCTGCGCCAAAATTTCCAGATTACATCCTGACCACCCCGTATAGACAGTCGAATTTATAAACGTTCTACATTGTTTTCAAAACCATATATAATATTAAAGCCTTTTACCGATTAATTGATTAAATTTTGATTAGATAGATAAGATTATTTATTAAGTAATAACACATTTTTTGCAAGTTTAATAGTGTAATCTTCTATGAATGGCAACTAAATGGAAACACTTAAAACTTAAAATATTTTAGATAAAAACACAGGAATAAGAACCAAAAATTTTATTTTTTTTGGTTAGGTAAATTTGTTATTATATGTACTTAAACACAGTGTCATATTTAAAATAAATATTATAAAAACAGATTTTTCAATAATCTAAAAGCCATGGTTTACTCTCAGACGACAATACTTAAAACACGAACAAAACAAAAGATTTATGATTATTGAATCGTTTATGTCAATGACACTTTGGTAAATGACTAATAATAAAACTGATAACATTTTTAGAGTTCTTGGTTATCAGCTGCACCATACCTAGCTCTCTTCATCCTAGGAATGACGTTTGGCCCTATAGCTGATTGGCTTATAGTCAAAAACTACCTCTCGGCAACTAACACGAGAAAACTGATGAACACAATAGGTATTTCAACTATTTAGTTTATTTGTTATAAATGATACAAATTATATTTTCTTTCTAGGGACTTTTGGGCCAGCTATTGCCCTTGCCGTCCTTGGTTATATACCAAAAGAAAATATCTTTTTGATTGAAACACTCTTAATTATTGCTGTTGGTATCAACGCAGCTGTTTGGTGTGGTTTCCAGGTGAATCACGTGGATTTATCACCGAAGTTTTCAGGAATTTTGATGGGACTGGGAAATGGATCATCGAATATATTCTCCATTGTATCCCCTAACATAGTGGGGGCTATTGTTACTCATGAAGTAAGAACTATACATATTATAGATAGTATACTGTACTAAAGCAATATTGCTTACTGTTTTAGACATAATTTTAGCTATGTTAGAATGATCAGTTCATAATACAAACTAATTTAAACAAAGCTTTGCTAGTACCATAAAATAGATATACCTCCGTTGACCGATATACAGGGTGAGCGTGTATTGGAAGTATCTAAAGAACTATATACAATATCTAGATCGGAGATTTTTTGAAAATTCTATGAATATTGATATTAAACACTCTATACCTAACATTAACCGTTTTTGAGGAAAAAAATACTTAAAATTTTTGGACAAAAAAAACTGCCTGTCAAAAATATGTGAATAGCCTAAACGTCAAATTTAGTTATTACCACAGCCACTGTGCCATAAAGAGAAGGCAATTGACATACTATTTAAAAAAAGAAATTGTTCGAATTTCGAATGCCATATAATAATGACAGCAGCTGTCATGGAATTAAGCGATTAAAAAATTATCATAAATCATTTTTTTCAAAAGGAAACCCACTTTTTTATTTCACTAGTGAAAAGGCTTTTTCAATTCGTTACTTTTTGATTATACATGTTTCTATACCTAAAATAAATTGTTTTTAAGTTATTTAAGATTTAGTTTTAAAGCGTATATTTCTTGCTTTAACCAGTAGCCTCCCAAGTAGCATCTATCTGACTTCGAACTAAATCTGACCTGAAGCGACGTCAGACTTTGTGCAAATTTAGGTCGGGTGCTGGTGATACGACTGGTGACGTCGCTTTCCTATTAAAAGTGACGTCGTTGGATCCGAGTCGGCAAATCCAACGATTTGTCGACGTACAAAATAACAACGTACCATTTTTATTAATTTCCCAACGTCGTTCCAACGTTGGCTTGCACGACGTACCTATACTTGAACTAGCCCGACGTCTACCCGTTGTCCGAATAGGATACGTCTCACTGATAATCCCTAAAGTAACGTCCAATTATATTTTGTTGTATTTTATGTTCATATTGTTAACCTAATTTACGTATCTCTATTTACGTCCGTAAATACAACCCATTAAGTAGCATTTGCGGCCTAATAAACATCATGAACATAACCTAATAAAAGTTTTTGTAAACAAACTTAATTTTTTGATTATGCCTAAAAAACACTAAAAGGCATTTAGACATTCATCTACATTTTACAGAAAGAGGTCGAGGCTTTTGCAAAATAATAATAGTAGTAGTGATGTCTTCCCTCCGCCCACGAATGCTTTTTATCCGGAAGAGATGCTGCATTACACTTGTGCATCTTAATTTCATTTTTTAGCTTAAGAAACCAGCAGACCCCATCCTCCTCCCACATGTGAGGTACTGGTTCCAATTCTTTTAAATTTTGTATATACTATCTTAAAAAAAGTGGCTGCCCATTGTTTTAAAGAGAAAACAAAAACTAAAATATAGTTGCACAAATCCACAAATCACTGATACGCAAAGTGAGGTTTTGGCGTACGTTGGAATTATATACGTCATAATACGATTACCGGTCGTCCGGTTTGATGACTTCGGTCGTGTGAGACGACTAATGTTGGAGATCCGGTCGGAATTGGTATATTGGTAGTTCATATTAAGTCGGACACAGAAATTCGCCATTCTTAACAGGTATCCGATTGTGAGCCATTTTAAAATCGTTTTTTGTTTTTAAAATTTATATTCACATTCCGATTTCTAGTAGAATAATATTGATAAGGTTGAGTTTGGGGGGAACCACAGTACAGTTTTATGATTAAACCAGCTAGAAAATAAATAAAATATTTTGTGAGTTACTTTTTAATAGATATTTTTATTTCATAAATCTACCTACTTTTAAAGGCGCTCGTTGTTTTCCGGAGTATTTTAATCAGATACATCAAAAAAGTGACTTCCGTTGACAAAACTGATGTCTGGATTAATGATTCAGAATTATTATAATATGAAATTAGATAGGCACTTATAGTTCTATTCGAGCAGTGATTATGAATCCATTTGTAATTAGGTAGTTTGGTTAGGTTTTTATGTATTTTTGGTAGCGAATATGAAACCAAACGTAACGTAAGTGCTTAGCGACGAATTTTAAGTGACTTTAAGTGATTTTAAAATCCAACGTAATATGACGTTGGTAATTGGTAGAATTACATTCCCTATTAGGTCAGATACCGACGTCGAGGCGACCCGAATCTGTATTCCCCATTTAGGTGCAAATAAGGGTCGTCAGGCGGTCGAGCCGACGTTGGTACCCGACGTCGGGTTTATTGAACGCGACGTATACCCAACGTTAGATAACGTCCAAATGCTACTTGGGCTATGACTTTAAACGTTAAGTGATGTAAAACAATAGATCTGGCCATGTCATATTGTGACACTTTGTCAAAAAGCAGTATGTTATCGATCATCATTTCCAAGCCAACTTTGCGCTGTTTTTTTCGATCATACGGCGTTAGCTATGGCTATGAAATGAAGATCGCTGTTATTTTATATGTAAAATGATATAGGGAATGTCACTGTTTTTTTTTCGATCATACGGTATCATCTATTAGATATCACTAAAGTGCGAAAATACGAGATATATTTTTATAAATAGGTACACTTTTCAAACTTTTAAGAAGACAGTATTTATCATATAGGAAATTCAAATAATTCGTTTTCTGATAGATGGAAATAAATTGTCTCACAGTTTGACACTTAATGTCAAAGGAAGCTAGATAAAACCAAGAAAAATGTACGTTTTCAAACTTAATCTTAAATAACTTAAAAACGATTTATTTTAGGTAATAGAAACATGTACACTCAAAAAGTAACGAATTCGAAAACTTTTTCACTAGTGAAATAAAAAAAGTGGGTTTCCATTTGAAAAAAATGATTTATGATACTTTTTACTCACTCAATTCCATGACAGCTACCGCCATTTTTATATGACATTTGAAAAATTTAATTTTTGAAATAGATAGCCACATATTTTCTCTTTATGTCACAATGGCTGTGGTAATCACTAAATTTGACTTTTAAGTTATACAAATTTTTTTGACATGAAGATTTTTTCGTCCAAAAATGTTAAATTTTTTTTTTCTCAAAAACGGGTAATGTTAGGTATAGAGTGTTTAACATCAATATTGATAGAATTTTACACAGAATTTAAGGATGTAATAAAAAATGTGGGCACCCATTTAAAATAAGAAAGTTGCTGTCAACTTCCGGTATTTCCGGAAGTGGTGACGCCATATTGAAAATATTTTTAATCGATAGATCTCGTTGCAAAACAATGATGTGTAAAAAATCTCCGATCTAGATCTTGTGGTTCTCTAGAAACTTCTAATGCACGCTCAGCCTGGGACACCCTGTATATTAATCCTATTAGCTTTAAATGCCTACATGTTTACTGATCTTGCAGTGTCTTGTTAATAGACTCTATAGTTTTCATATTTCCCATCTTTACTTGGCAGACCTGCTTGCAATTTTGTCGAAACATATTTAGCATTACATGAGTACGATTTAATAGTGACATTATATTAATATTTTAGACAGATCCAACGCAGTGGCGAACAGTTTTCTTAATAGCAGCCGCTATATACATCTTATCGGATATATTTTTCGTTATTTACGCAAAAGGAGAACGACAATGGTGGGATAGCTTAGGAGATGAAGAGGAGACTACCGAAAGTGATTCCCAATTTCAAGAGATCAAATTGGAGAGAGAATCTTGATTAGTATTTATATGTATTAAATAGTGTTTTTTTATAATAAGACTTTGTACTATATTAAATAATATATCTTCTTTTATACCGAGCATTTTATTTTCCATAATATGTGTAAAAATTACTTCAATTTTTTTTAGATATTGATACACTTGATAACAATAACATATCTAGATATTAACCTGTAGATAACTAGTGTCAATCATTCATTATAGAAGTTCATATAAATGAATAATCTTATATTATCAAACAAAGTTAAAAAAATATTTAAATCCCATAAGAAATCTATAATCTATAAAAGTTATTTTATTTTGAATATGGCGAAGGTGCCAGGATAAGAAGGTGCCAGTATATGGTGTTTCAATGCGGTGATTTCACCACAACGAAGTTTCATGTTAACAAACCATTAGAGATATTGTGTGGTGGTTAAGATGGTGAGTTATCGTTTTTATTTTTTGTTTGAAACGAAAGAGATAGACTAATAATGTATGGAAGCATTAATAAAGCAGGAAACACATCTCTGGTGGCCATGAAATGAGTGAAGGGGCTGCACTTTTGCAGCAGTGGTTCTGCGAAACACATGGATAAGTAGTTTGGTTTATAAAAGTATATCTTGTATTTTTTTGACAAAGCTCACCGATTTGAAATTAAAAATAAATGTATATATTACATGTCAGGACAAAGCATTTTCGATAAAGAATCTAGTGGGCTTGCCGTACTTTTTTAGGAAAAAATCTAGTCGGCCAGTTGTTACTTCTTTAGGGATGTTCCTATTATTTTTATTTGACATTACTTTACTGCAATATGTTATTATCTAGATGATTATTATTATCGTTATTATCACTAGATTCTTAATCTAAAAATGTTTTTTGTCCTGACATGTAATGCTTTATGATTTTATTTTTTAATTTCCAATCGGTGAGTTTTACCAAAAAAAACACAAGAGGTAAAAAAGGTTCTAAACAAACTAAACTATCCAAATTAAAGCATTTTGCATGTGTTTGATAAGATTTTCTTTAAATTTCGTTAACAAGAATGATAGGGGTGTTTATTTCAACCCCTTCCACTCATTTTAAAAAGTAAAAATTACCTGAAAGTGTATTTTCATAACAGTAATACTCCCATAAAATTTCATTAGTCTATCTCTTTCGTTTTCAAGATAAAAATAAAAACATTATTTTTCCGCCATCTATGTACCGCGATATCTCCCTAATGGTTGACTTTTTTTGACCCAACGTTTATGAAGCAAACTACCCCTTTATTTTGAACAAGGAATCACCCCCTAAAGTTTTTCTGATTTGTTTGAAAACACCCTGTATATATAAATTAAAATTATATAGGTAAATTGGAAACAGAATATGCCTAATAAAATATTAATTAAATATCTAAAGCTAGATGTTACATTTTGTTACATTAATTAATTTATATGATATTAATGAAATAATTTAAAGTCATTTAAATTAAACAAATTGACATATACATTATAAAAGTAAGGTATCTTAAAATGTATCCTTGTAGAAAACATGAAAATGAGATATTATGAAAGAACTAAAAATTTTACTACATTGTAGTATCTCAAAAAAGCATTAGCGTCACTAGCAATTGTCCTGGGGTGGGCCTGAGGGGGGCCTAGGGCTTTTGTTTTTTTTTAAATGAAAAATAATTTTAAAAACACATTTTTTGAATACAATTTTACATGAATTTCTATCAGTAAATTTACAGATTTGGTTATCAAACCGTGTTCCCGTAGATTACCTAAATACCTACAAATTTTAAAAAAATAAAAATTAACAAATTTTTAAACACAATAAAATAATATTAACGAAACAAAAACTAGAAAACATTTTACTACATCACATGCAAGCAAATAAAAATTAATAATAAGAGTCATAATTCAGGATATCTCTGTGGGGTGCCCAGCAGTACCTGGGGGAGGGCCCGGCACCCCTGTAGTTACGCCAGTGCAAAAAAGTCAAGATGTTTAGGTCATGCACTACGTTGAAGTTTTTCTCTCTTCTTCAGAATAGATCCAAGAATCAACCTCTTTAAATATTAACATGTTACTAAGAAACATCCTGTATATTCTAAATATTAATACAGCCTACGCAACTTAAATTATAGTGTAAAAACAAGAAGATTGTACTAGAAAAAATATATTAATTAATTATAAACCAAACCGTCAAATTAAATTAAAGAAAATTTGAATACTATTAGAAGAAAAACAAAAATTTACATACGAGATGGTTTTTTTCATGATAGTAAATAAGATTTTTATTTCACCTAATACTATTATTGGAGACAGAGCAGAAATTCGTACAAGCAGCGTGTAGGAAGAACTGGTACGCCTTCCAATTTTCAAATTTTTCGCCAAAAGAACATTCCTGAATGCTTAAGTCATGCTATTAGAAGAAAATATTTATTTATAGAATTGATATCTAAAAAATGGGACAAAGAAAAATAATTAGAGAAATCGCTTTGTTAAATTTTCTAAACGTTGTAAAATATTCAAACAAAAAGTTTTTATTATATATACACTCAACTCAAACACAGGGTGGCGCCTCTCAAACGCCGTGGAAGCTCTATTGAAGGAGAGCAAAAGTTTGTATTGAAAAGTTACATATCAAACTTGTATTTTTTGCATGGTTCACCCTATATATTAATTGATTTTTGGATTGGTGGAGAAAATAAAGGTGAGTTTTTAAATAAATAAATGTAAGGTTTTATTATATTTTAACATTTTCTAGAAAATAAAATAAACAATTTTTAAATTACAATAAAAGCTACCTAAATTGTAGTTTACCAGGTATAGCCAAATATGTAGAAGTTAAATTAACTATTGTACTTTTAAACTCAAATTAAAACTGATCCAAAAGTTATACAGGGTGAGACCTGTTATACAGGGTGAGGCCTCATTTTTTTTATGTTGCACAGTGTTTACAAAACTCGAACAACCATTGTCAGACAACATGAGAGAAATTATTGTAGCTGCTTTTCTGAGGTAGAACTCCACATATTATGCCTTTTATAATAAAAAAAGATCCTTTTGAAAAGACAATCATTTGATGTTAACAGGAAAGAAAGCATTTTGATCATTCGATTACATCTAGCTAATTTTTTGTCACATACTTATAGAAGTTTATATCTAGTTTTAATTTGCAATAATTAAAATATGTTTTAAACGTGTATCTATTTATTACCGTTGACTATTTACTCTACTATCTTTTAATGTTGTTAAATTAACAAAAGGCAAAAGGTATATCACACACCTAGTTTCAAATAATACAGATCTATTGAACAAAATACACGAATTTCAGGATAATTTGGGTAATAGACCGCGCCTATTTCGTGGTGTTATACTTAAATATTTCTGTGTATAATATTGGCCCAAATGAGTCGATTAATTCAAATAAGACCACGCCTCGCGACGAGGAATAAACAAAAGTTCTTGTGGTATTCGGCATTATGAAATCCGATTGTACCCTTGATTAGTTCTTAATTTCTTAGATTCATTCCATTGTAAAATAATCTTTGTAGGATACAACTCTGATTAAAAATATCTATATCATTGTGGCAGGTTCACTTCTTGAAAAAAAAAGGCCTTTTAAAAAGACGTTATTTAAACGTCATTTTTTGCTAAAAAAAATAAATTATTTTCGTAGTAACTGCATTTATAGACACACACAGGGTGGCCCGTCGAAAACGTTCCGCAAGGCATAACAGCCAGGGTATTTTTTTTTTCGAAAAATCCAAAAACACGTCAATTTTGTTTGTGTTTCTCTTCAAACCTCTAAGTTGGGTGTCATCTTTTAAATGGAAAGGGGGTTTATGGCGTTTAATGAAAAAGGCTTTATTCTCTATATTTCCTCGCTTCGTTTTTAAAAAATCGTCGAGACATTTTGAAAATAAGAAAGACTGAAATTTGAAAAGTACTTTTGCAAAAAAACGCATAAATTTAATTAATTAAAAAACTTATCTTATTAATGAAGAAAAATGCTGAAAAATGTTGCCCGTCAACCTCCATACAGTAATACAAATTATTTTCAACCCTTTCTAGAACATTCTTTAGAACTTGCGGGGTCACTTCGCAACAAACATCAATAATTCGTCTTCGCAGGTCTTCTAATGAGACGGGTGGAGTGCTATACACTTTATTTTTATGTGTCCCCATAGAGTCAAGTCGGATGACCGGGGAGGCTACTCAATTGCAACCCTTCGTCCTATCCACCGAACGGGAAAGTTATTATACTTAAATAATTACTAACATTTTGAGAGTAAGGTGGAGGCATCTTGTTGAAATATTAGTTCCATTTCAACGTATCCAGGATTGTTCTCTATGATGTCAGTTAGGGCTGAGTCGATGGTATTTTCCAGTAAATCCAAGTACATATCACCTGTTAGATTTCCAGGAAGAAAAAAAGGACTTACAATGGAATTTCTAAAAATACCAGCCCACACGTTCAATTTCTTAGGGTTTTGTGCGTGCACCTCGTGAAAAACACTGGGGTTGTCCTCAGCCCAGTACCGACAGTTGTGCCGATTAACCACACATTTCAAAAAAAGAAAGTAATACACTCTACCTAACCCGATCGTTCATCTTTGTGGCAAGTGAAAAATGCGTAAACATCTTAGAAATACTAAGAAAAACAGCAAATTGGTCGAAGGAATTTATCCTTATCATTTACTCTGATAAATGCTTAAATAAACTTCAAATTTCATCCTTAAGTGTTTTCTCAATGGCTCCACCGATTTTCAAAAAATCTAGCGAGAAAGTATAGAGAATAGAAAGCCCTTTTCAATGCGGCACCACTTGACCCCCTTCCCATTTGAAAAAATTGGGGATGACACCCCGCTTAGAGGGTTGAAGATTTTGTAATCATTTTGGGGCAAAAATTGTCCCCCTCACAAACAAAATTGACGTGTTTTTGAATTTTCTGAAAAAAAAATTACCCTGGCCTTTATGCCTATGCTTGCGTTTTCGATGGGCCACCCTGTATATAGATTTTTTTGCAGGTCGCACAACGCTCAATGGAACGGAATATGCTGGGAATAATCAAGAGAGACCGTAAAAGAATAGAGTGATACGACAA